TTTATCATGTTCACTCACTGTTTTTAGACAATAAATTAGTTTAGGAATGTCAATTTGACCTAAACAAAAGGTGATGTATTTTTTTGCACATGCTGCAAATAAACGTTTTAACTGACTGAATTTATATAACTTGTCACAAACTTGAAGTTCTACCTCTGTACCAGTCTAAAAATTCAGATTGACTTATATTAGGTTATTATGTTTTGCAAAAATGGGGGCATAAATAATAATTGAATTATGAATAATCTTAAAATAAAAAATGCCTGATTTTACTAAAACACTATATGTTAATGTAAAAAATCATGCTCACTAATTAATGGCTTTTAAACAAGTTTGAATTAAAGCACATGTAAATTGTCAGCCCAAATAAATGGCCACATCGCTTAAGGCTGTATTGCCTTTGTATTTTCTTAATATAGATTTTTTTTATAATGACAAAAAGTTTTTTGTTTGGTTTTAAACAAAGTTTTGTTAGTGGAGACAGGGGACTTCATTTTTTTCTGCCTCAATATGAAAATATATTTTTCTAACTTCAGGTTGGAGAGCTGTTGCAAGATATACGGCGTTTGAATGTTGCAGTAACACGTGCCAAGAAAAAGTTGATTCTTGTTGGTAATACGGACACACTTGGTCAATATAGCCATCTTAAACAGCTCCTTGATCTACTACATACAAACAATGTTGTTGTCCTTGACCAGTTGTGTGTTTGATTAAATACATAACTTCAGATAATAAAAGGGAAATTACAAAGCAAATGCATTTTAATAAAGTCAGACAGTGTTTTGGATGTCATGTTCTTTCTTGTTTAAGTAAAATGAATGTAAAATTAAGCTCTAGAAAAACAGGAAACAAGTGCATCTCAGGAAAGGTAGTTTGCAAAATTGTGGCATTAAAATGTTTTACTATTTTTCCTTTTTTTATGCACATTTCATTCTTTTTTCTTTAATTAAAAGAAGCAATATATCAAGTGCTTACAATGTTCTGACTGTCTTTTTTTAATAATTTGTGTTCTTCTAGTTTACATTTTTTTATTTACATGATATAATAATCAAGTTAAACCTCAAATATACCTCAGTTTTTTAAGAACTTGCAAGCATTGTGACTACTGAATATTATTTTTTTTCATATATATTTTCATAATTCTATCATTTATATTATTTATACAAATTGTATAATTATGTATTAAATGTTGCTATATATGATTAATTTCAGCTCTTGTTGTTTTTAGTCAGATTATTTCTTTTTACCATACCATACAGCAAAATGATTTTAGTGATACTATCTGTATACTTCTAGAAGAGTTTGATAAAACAGTTTACCCAATGAACCTTTGATAGATCAGATATTTCAATATAACAAATAATTATACAAATGGTGCATTTAGTCTGTTCTAAGCATATATCGGTTTCAGGGTAATTTATGCAATAAGTTAACATGGTTTAACCATTTATCTTCTGGAAACAGATGTGATTAGTCTTGACCACCAGTATAGAGTCGGGTCAAAGCCAGTCTGTACATCTGTTTGTAACCCAATTCCAGTACAAATGTATTCTGATATTGAAATCTCTTAATTTTCAAATGGACAGTTCATAATTCAATGCAGGGTAAATCTGCTACAAATATTCAAAAAGAAATATGGGTTTATATCCTTAACACCTAGGTGAACAAATTTTATAGAGGAAGGGATGAAACATGACTAGTATTTATGTATACTGGTTACATTCATTAGTGTTGTACATATAGTGTAACATACATGTAGTTACAGGATGCAGTAATACTACTTTTTTAATAGTAACAATATTTAATAAAAAATATCAAGTTTTTATTCCCATGGTATTGTTTTCACAATTTCTTGTCTGTGCAATAGAAGTTCATTGTTAGCTTGACTTTACAAAGGATATGGAGAGCTGTTCTTATTCAGGTTTCTGATTAAAGTTTTTGTTCTGTAAGATATTTTACTGTAACTTCTTTATCTCTGAGGAATTTACTACAAACTTCAAATATATGTTCCTAAGCATCACCCCCATCATGTGACAAGGTACATAACACAAGGCGATTTTCTGAAGCAGAAAAAGGGTCGTTGTCATCCTTCATATTTACCTCGCCTTGCCTCTTGTGACTGTCTCCAAAGTTAAGAAATACATTGTACCTTTCAGGTTGAAAATTTGTTCAGAGCAAAAACCTCGGTTCTCCAATATTCCAGTAACTTCAAATGCCTTCAAAGATTGGATCCAGAGACAGAAACTTTGTATATCTGTTGGAGGTGAATGCCAATTAGAAATTGAGTGAAATCAAATTGCACGTGCTTAGATGCATTCATATTTGAACACTCCTCGTATGAGAGTAATCCATTAAGTTTACGGGAGGTAGGTGGTACTATTTGTTCACCGGTAAAGCTTGAAAAGTCGCGATTAAATGACCGGTTTAAGTATCCGTTACTTTTGGGAAATTGAAATTCGAAAATGATCTGAAATGAATAAACCAGCCGATAACAAGAAATGGCCGGACGTTAAGCTATGACGCTAAATAGGAACTGGAAGAATAATACGTTATAAACATGAAGTGTATGGTGTTCAGTTTTAACAGAGACTTTTGGAAACTCTTTTAACAAAATACGGCTCTAACCCCTTAATATTTCACTTGATTTTCAGCCGCACCTGCACTGTACTCGCATATATTAGTCATAAAACATCTTTGAATCGATGACATGTTTGACGGTTAGTGCTTAATCAGCTGAATAGCTTCTTTAATCAGCTAAATAGCTTCTTTACATGGAAGAAACCGAAGTACATACCTGTACCTGAGTGGAACAGATACAATGGTGAATACATGTAGTGTGTGAGTGGTTTAATGTCAGCGTCCCCAATGTCTGGATGGTTGGTACTGGTGGCCGTTAGCAAGTCATTGACTTCAAAACACTTGCCACTCACTGCTGTGGGTTCGAATTCCGCCAAGGTCACACGAACATTTTGAAGTTTCAAAATATCACAATAAGAATTAATAGGCACACACAATCGTGTCCGGGTATTTCATAACATTTTGTCGCATCCAGGAACCACGTCCCTTCTTCAGTGATCAAGGTCACACTTATATTTTGATGGTTCAGCTATCACAATTACAGATTACAGGTACAATAGTACAAAGAAGAATATTAAACAATTAATTACTTTCATTGTCTTTTCATAATACCAGCGTGCTTAAGAAAACAACATTTTCGGGGGCATTAGTCACTTTGATTACAGCTCTTGTATACTAATGATGTGCACTTTAATATACACAGTAAATATGAAATAAGTATATTTATTATATACTTATAAATGAAATATTGAGAAATGTTAATTAAATAAAATGCGTATTTTCATTTTCCGTATTTTCACTGTAAAAATTTTTATTTTTCACTGCAGTGAAACATATTTTCCGTATTTTCACTGGTGTCTTGTCGGACTACTTTCTATTAAATTCTTCCCATACGCAAAATTTAAGGGAAATTCTTTCAAATTTTAATGTCAAAAAAGAGAAATGTATATAATAAACAGAAAATTCAAGTTTTTTTCTATAAATACATGATTTATTTTCATCTTGTGGCATGAAAATGATCATATTTCACTCGTGGCTATCGCCACTCATGAAATATTTATTTTCATACCACTCGATGAAAATAAATCATATATTTATAGAAAAAACTTGAATATCCTCTATGTATATAAAACATATGCAGCAGCTGGGATACTTATCCGTATTCTAAGCAGCAGTCAGTGATCATTATTTTGTAACACAATTTCCGTTACATCTTTGGGGCATTTCTGTCGTGAATACGGTAATTTTAAAGAAAAAAAGCTACACAAATGGCTTTTAAATTACTATCTTTTACTTTACTTATTTAATAGGAAATACTTACATAAAATTGAAGAAAAAAAAACAAAAAAGAACTTGAGGAATCGTACGCTTGGTAAATAAAAATAATAAAAACCGTGGAAGACTAGGTTTTAAAGTTGCCTTCTTTTATCCAACAACAAAAACGGAAGGCTTTTTCCTTCTTACTGGAGGAAACTTCTTAGTAGGTATAAATGTGCGCGGTTGACTCTTTTTCCGTGGTCGATATTTTTTCCTTGGTCTATATTTTTTCCGCGGTGGGGGTTTCTTTGGTCGTCTGTATTTTTTAGATGGCCGTCTTCGAGGTTTCTTAGATCCTTTATGTTTGTTAGACATATTGTGCTTACTATGATGCCCCTTTCCGCCATGATGACTTCTACCGTAATGATGACCCCCATGTCCACCCATATGACCATCATAATTATTGCCATCATTGTACCCAGATTCACCATCATACGGTTCAGTATCAAACCTGTCATAGCTTGGTCGAGGACCATCGTCATAGACGTCCATTCCTCTCGAAGGACGACTATTCGGGCCCCGGAAAGTTTTCTTCGTCCCCCTTAAAAAAAAGGGGAAAATCCCATCCTTCTTTTGTGACCCTGGGTAAAAACACCCCATTACCCCCTAGCCCCTGCTAGGTAGTAATCGCCATCATACCGCCTCACGTCACCATACCCGCCATACCATACCCGCCGTACCACCCGGCCCTCATAAACCATCTCAAAAAACCCCCAAACCAAAAACCCGAAACCGTCATAGCCACTTTTCCAAAAAACCCCCATAACACACCGAACCGCCCCACCCTAAACCATAGAAACCCCCCCCGCCTTTGGGTAACCAAATACCCTCCACCGAAAAGGCCCCTTTAATACCAATCCCAAACCAAATGGGTTTCCATGCCCCAAAAAAGCAAAAAATATATTTTTTCTTAAAAAAGATATTTAATTTTAAGCTCACCAGTATAATGAACATTTCGCAAATCTTTTCATTATTTAGTAAAGTCAAACAGGAGATACAAATATCATGACAACAAGGGAAAATACAAAATAGTGTAAAATCATGTTTTAAAGACTATCATGCATATATAATAATGCATTGTCACAAATAACATCAAGCTGATTTATTTAACAATGTATTAAACGTGTGGCTGTTACGAACGTATATTTACCTCCGCCGTATCCGCGATATCCTCTGTATCTTCTGTATCCATATCTCCTTCCAAAATATGGATATCTCCTGTAACCTCCATATCCCATATAACCTCCATATCTAGACCTATAACCTCGTCCATAACCAAGATAACTGCCTCCAAATCCTCTCCTGCCAAATCCACGCTCGCCATAGCCACCTTCTCCATATTCCCCTCCTTCACCATAGCCGCCTTCACCAAACCCCCTGCCTCCAAACCCTCCTTCTCCATATTCCCCTCCTCCATAGCCGCCTTCACCAAACCCCCTGCCTCCAAACCCTCCTTCTCCATATTCCCCGCCTCCATAGCCGCCTTCACCAAACCCCCTGCCTCCAAACCCTCCTTCTCCATATTCCCCTCCTCCATAGCCGCCTTCACCAAACCCCCTGCCTCCAAACCCTCCTTCTCCATATTCCCCTCCTCCATAGCCGCCTTCACCAAACCCCCTGCCTCCAAACCCTCCTTCTCCATATTCCCCTCCTCCATAGCCGCCTTCACCAAACCCCCTGCCTCCAAACCCTCCTTCTCCATATTCCCCGCCTCCATAGCCGCCTTCACCAAACCCCCTACCTCCAAACCCTCCTTCTCCATATTCCCCGCCAAAGCCACCTTCTCCATATTCCCCTCCTCCAAAGCCGCCTTCACCAAACCCCCTACCTCCAAATCCACTGCCTCCAAAACCTTCACCAAATCCTTCTCCAATTTCTCTTTCCCCACCACCCCCATATCCTCCTTCGCCCGATTCTATTTCTTCTCTCTGAGCATGTACTGAGTTATGGGCTAGTAAAAATATTATCAATAGATATGTCGCCATATCTCTGGGTTTTGGTACCTGAAACAAAATTATTATAACATGTTTATAATACTAGTAATTGTAGTAGGACTTAAATTTCTAATTTTTATGATGTTAGAAGGAATGGGTTAGTACAGACAATGCCCAGTTTATCATAAAAGGAACAAATGTCACTAACTACTGTTTGTAAACATTCAACTACAACTAAAAGAAAGAAAGAAAAAAAGAAACCTTAAGAAAGGTAGGACGGAAATGTCTGGCCAATTGATAAAACAAAAGAGAAATGCAAGTTCGCTTACTGCACATTGTTGTGTTTTGTTAATATTTTCCTTCTATCCCTTATCGCCATCTATCCTTTACTGACTGCAACTCATTATATTTTTAGAAATTTTGTTTTTTACATTGATTAAATAAATAACATGCATGTACTAAAATTATTACATAAACACTTGTATTGAAAAAAGCAGGGGAATTATTTCTGTTATTTTTTCTTATTTTAGCAAAATTACTTGACGTTTTCGCTTGAGTCAGTTCACTAACTGTAAAAAATATTTAAGAACAATATGGATAACTACCAGTTTTATGTAGATTAAATTCATTATATATAAAGTAAACAATCATTTCGTGAAATTAATTACGCTATAATATCAATCTGTATATCCATAATATGCTTAAAATCTTTGGAAATTGAACGTAACAGATCTTTGTGTTGAATTTTATTAGGATTTTGCATTGATTCCGTCAGTTATACTAAATCGGTGTGTTTTCTAAGAAAGTGTAGGGTTTTTTTAACAACTCTCCAGTCAAATTCCTGGAAATAACCAGTACTGGCGTCTGGAGTATATGAGGAAACATGGTCGTAACCAAAGTAGGGTTCAAACCTTCGCGATCCGAGGGTTTAGATCTCCAAATATGCTGTTGCCCTTTCACTAAAATGTGTTGCTTTAAGCCTAAATTTTTTGAAGCGTTACTTTTTCGTTTTCAGAGACTGATGTATATGTCGTCTGCTAGATTGAGAAACGATCTTTATCACTGTTAAAGTTTTATTTTTCTAGAAATAACTCAAACGTAATTTAAAATGATATTTCTAAGAAGTTCGTTGCAAAAACTTAAATGCGTTCCGATATAAAATATTACCTTTCAGTTATATAGGATTACTCATTAACATCCAGATAAGCTCTCCCGGAAATATTCATGACAGTTACATCTGAAAAAAAAATGTTAAAGTTGTATAAAATAAACTTTGCTTACACACGAATCCACATTCGACAGTAAGGGGTGTTCATTTATTTAATTTTGCCATTGGAGCTCTGCAAGGCACATTGTCAAATACAAACTAGCATGCCTCCAGATTCATGCTAATTTTCATTGAAAATTTTGAAAATGTATTTAAATGTAAAGTAATTTGAAGTGAACAAAGAAAGTAATTAACACATAGCAAACGGCACTTACAATCCACGTGAATTACCAAAAAGACGTCAAAATATACATAAATACCTCTTACTGTGTTAGTAACGCAGTAGAATTATAGTGAATGGTACTGCAAAATCAGTCATTAAACGCAAATAAGATGTATAATTAATCAAATATTGTTTCTTTTTAGTTTTCTTAAGATCTTAATACATTTATCTAAAGACTGAATTTCTTGAAATATTTTGACTCATCTGGAGGCGTGCAGCATTTTTCTGATCTTGAAATCCATTCTGTCAAAGTAGAAAATACGCCAGAAAGCATATGAAAATGACAGGTACCAAACGCACCTACGAGAGTCATATTGACTTCCAGATAGACTTTTCTAGGCACATGAAGCCTCAATTTTTATTGTAGAAAGAAAAATCGTTTGTTTTATAATTTTTATAGTAGTGGATTTAGAACATGTAAGATGCATTCATCTGAAGAAAGTAGTGCTGAATGTAAAATTATTTGTGATAAAAAAGAGCAAAATGCAAACAGTGGTAATAATTATAACTTTACTATTTGCCAAAACATTTCGGAATGTGATAATAAAAAAACTTTGAAAAATAAAAATGTTTGGAATTTTTCAGGCTTAATGATTCTACACAGGCACTAAATCTCCTTTTCAAAAATGAATTCTGATCAGCCCACACATATCGTGATCAAAGCACAAGTTTGAAGTTCAGTAGCTTAATTAACTCGCTTCTTCCTTTTTGACAAAAAAAATTGTTCTTATAAAACTTATGAGTAACTGTTAGGTCATATAAAACTGGCAGGTAGGCATAACAGATTTGTTTTATAAAATATTGCAAATAAAACTTTTCCTGTGAGTTTTATAATTTTAGTAACGCGTGATTCTAAAGCGAAACCACTACTTGCTATTGGCGCGTCTCTTGGTCTAAACACCACCTGGCTGCTATATTTGACAATTGCCACATTTGTTTTATTTATTAATCTAGACATTTGAGCAGTTATACACACTAAGCCATTGTTCGTCAGTAATCCTGTTCTGTATATATATGAATCCTCTTTGTACCTCGATTTGGAGAAGAAAACTGTTGTAAATAAATATTTTAGTTATTTAACAAAACATATGATACCGGGCGCGCAAATTGGAAATCTGCCCTCTACAATTATGTCAAAATGATTAATTTGCCATGCCAACATCAGATGTACGGTAGATCTTTACATTATTCTGAGACACAAACTATATTAGGAAACAGCTGTGTCCTTTGAATCGAGACAAAAATGCTGCTAGTTGACGTCATATACCACATCATAATTAGATTTATTTTCATAAAACGCGGTATTTCTTACTTACGTTAGAAGTCAAGAAAAAAATATTCCTGTCTTTCCTCATCAACTGTCCTCGTGTACAGAAGGAACGAACGAATACCAATGCGAAAAAGACGAATTGCGTGATTGAAACTAATGTTTAAGGTCAATTTAAATCGATGCATCCAAAAACATACGATGTTATTGATAGAGAGGTAGTAGATATTCTTCATGTAAAACACTTCATTATAAAATCGTTCATTAATTTTGTATAAAATACCTTTCTGCGGAAAGTATATAGTCCAATGTCTATATGTTATTTTACAATGTAATGAGTGCTTTTATTTAACATTATCATCGCTTTATATATTGTGAAAGAAAGTGTAAGAAAATGGACCTGACATTTAATTAGTTGTAGCATGGTGTGTATGTGTGCATACGTCACCATGGCATTCTCCGTAATGCCTTAAAACTAACATTACTAGTCTACCTATTTTTGCAACTCCCTACTGAGACTGTTATAATTCAGTATTAACATCTACATCTACATCATACTGCTTAACAATCAATTCTGATTATGACTAGCAGGCGCGTTGTCAGGGAACTGTTAATAAAAGACTTTATTTATATGCAAATTAAAAAGTTAAAAGAATAAAAGTTCTACAAGACTCTTTATTTAAAAACATAGTGTGCAGTTTAGAATTTATAGAATGGGTCAAGCCTCTCAGTAAAGATGTTTAAACTGGGGCTAGACTGAACAGTTAGGGGAAGGCTATTCCAAAGACGTATGCTCCTAGGAAAGAAAGAATTTTGATGATATTGTGTCCTCGAGTAGGGTATCAGGTAGTTCAGATTTCTTGTTTGAGTAAGGTGTTGGTGGTCAACAAAAACAATATTGTTTTGGATTGGATTAAAACTAATGAAAACTTAATCCTAATTGTTTGAAAAAAAGTACAAAATACAACATGTACAAAATCGTTAAATTACTAAATTATATACACTGTGCATGATTACAAATTTCGTACGTAGATATTATATCACCCTGTTTTCGCTTAGACTTAATAGAAAGACCTTGTAAAGATGTACAGAATTATAAGAACGTAACAAAACATGACTAAAGCTTTATGATGTGATTCGCAACACAATTAAAAATAAAAAGATTTTATTACTAAATCTTTATAAATTAATGGCAACAGTGAAGATAATGATAAGCCAATTGATCCATTATATATATAATGTATAAGTTCAACCAGATGGGATTCGATTCTTAATGATAAAGTTTGCTAGTCTACAGCATAAGATAACATGTATGGCGCGAATACTTTAAATTAAAACCACATTCGTATTGTCTTATCCGAAAGCGGAAAATAGATTGTCACTTAGTGATTGCGGGGGGGGGGGGGGGGGGGGCGTGAATCACTCCATGTTCCGTAGTATCTTTTTACGACATTGAGAAACGAACTTCCAATGTTTTAAATTTTTTGATGGAAACGAGTGAAAGTTTATCTATGAAATAAATCTTTAAATATATATAATTATATATCAGACAAAAAATACAAACAAATGCAACATTAAAATGAAGACGTAAAAATTTACCTGTTTACGATAGCATATCCGAGGCTACGGCCAACAATTTTGTGACCTTGCCGGCTGAATTCGTAAACCCAGAAATATGCTGTCGACACTTGCAGTGAAGAAATGTAAGCTGCAGATGCATTGGGACAACTTGACCTTTCATGCCTTTAAAATGTCGCGTCCGATTAAATTAAATGATAAATTTAAAATATCACAGTTCATTAGACCAGCGGGTGGGGTAGAACGATTTTGCATATATAATTCCCAGCACCAAACATTACATCGCGGTACACTCAGACCTATTATCTTTCATTTCAAAAGACTGACATGAGGAAACCTGGCTTCAAAACTGAACTGACTGTCTAAAAAATTAGGTGCAATTTGAACGGTGTAAACCGATTTACAAACTTAATTTTTTATAACACAATTTGTCTGTTATCGATACAACACATTTTAACTGTCATTTTTATGCAATGATTATGAAAATCTAATGGTCTAACCATTTTTTGGAAATAAGCACTGGTTCTTTGCCACTATTTTTAGCGTAAGTCCAGGGATTAGCAAGGTTGGCGGTCTGTCGGCCAGTATTTTTGGGCAGCATGAAATGCCCTAATATAACTAAATATTGCCTTAATATACCCAAATATTGTTCAATTATACTACAAATAAAATTTTTATTCTAAAAAAGTGCTGTTTTAATCATGAATACAATAGACTATTGCTAATGACCAAAAATACTGCATGGCCCTAATTACTTTACAGGGGACTGGGGCTTTGGCCATCAGGTAGGAAAATTCTCATCATTTTGAAGAAAAATGGGAATTTTTTCTGTCAACAAAAATTCTCATACAGGGTATTTTCACGCTATCTGATATCACCAGGTGCCCAAACATAAGGCTCCATTCTCAATCTAAATTGTTTTTTTCCCCAAAATGTTGAATTTGTTATGGTCAACTTGTCCCCTAAACTTGACACCTATTTTCTTTTCATTTCAAATTAGAAAATGAAAAATTCCATCTATTCTTAGTGTAAGGTAGAGTCTAGCTGGTTGGTTACCAAAAAATCCCAAACTTGACTCCTTACTGAGATACCTAGACCTCCATGCTTTACATTTCTTGATAATGACAGTTTATTATTATTGTCTTTTAATTTTGTCAATAATTCTTGCATGGTATTAAAATTGCCCTACAAAATGAGATCGCAATAGATCCTATACTATACTTATGTAATCCTCGCATGTATCAGTGCTTTACACTGGGCATGTAAAAGAACCAAGGAATCTATTCAATAAGAGTTAGGGACTTGTTCCCGGATTCCCTTGTATCTCATAGCTGTCTCTAGAGTCTGGTAAGGTAAGGACCCTACTGGAAATAAGTGCTTGCACTTTCGCAGACTTCCCGAAAGTTGAAAAAAACTGTCAGACATTCGGTCTGACAAACCATGAAAATCTGTCGGACCGAAAAGAAATCTGTCGGACCAAATAAAATTGATCAAAATCAAAGATTAACTTGTGTTTGTATTTCTTAGACACTTTTTGTTTTTAATTTTTTCGCTGTAAAAATCGGCACATTCCTTACAGCGCATTTTCATCTCCTCCCTATCATACACCAACGATTCACTGTCTTGCTTCTATTTTTCATTAAATTTTGTCTCAGGTCTATTCTTTTTATCCTTTTACTGCTGTTCTGCGCGTTCCTCTGACGTAGATTTTTGATTTTTCCCAGGTTTGGCACCTTTAGCGACGCCATTTTGTATACATGCGGCTTGGATAAAAGCCGGACAGTCGGACCGATCCGGAATAAAAACTAGTCGGACCTGATCAAAATTTATCGGACATGTCCGTCGGACCGACGTATTTCGGGAAGTCTGCTTTCGTAGGTTATCCTTGACCGCCCAGTCTAAAGAAAATCAATCAATCGTACAAAAGAGGTATTCCTAAAATGATAGACCTTGTAATTTGAACTGTCCTGACTCCTCTATTACAGTGAGAAACAGGAGTGTTTTGATTAATGATTTAAACATAATTTTCATAATAAAAACAGCTGGTATAGCAGGTAGATATGGTGCTTAATATGATTTTCAATAATTGCATACATTTTAAAGGGCATAAGCTATTCTTTTGTTGTTGTTGTTTTTCTTTTACAGTAATACTAAAAGCAATTGTATTTCCTTTTTTTTTTTTAAAATGACTGAACTTTAGCATTGAAAAAAACCCAGCAGAAACACATTTTTTTAAAACAATAATAGATTTTTTTCTATTTTCAGTAATGCCAAAAGCGTTCAGCGGTGTAAGGTATGTGGATCTTGTTTTACCAAAATGTCAGTATTAAGAGCTGTTACTGATTCAGTTATTGCACACTTAGTTACTTAAACCTGCAACTTGACTATTTAAGCCACTAGATGGCGCTGGGGCAGATTTTCATGGTATTTTTGACATGCTTCACATCTAACAGCCCTTTTTTGAAATAGTAAAATAACCAAGAAGTATTTTGCATAAAAACTTTTTGTATAACTTCTTTGCAACATTTGAAATAAAATGGCAGAGACAGAAACTGTGTTTTTTAGCAAACTTTTCAAAATTTGAATGTTGAAAACAGTTGTTAGATTTCTTTAAACTATTTTATATATTTATGCCCCCATTTCGAAGAAAAGGGGGTATTTTGCTTTGCACTTGTCGGTCCGTCGGTCCGTAGACCAAATGGTTTCCGATCAATAACTAAAGAACCCTTAGGCCTAGGAACTTCAAACTTGGTATGGTGATTGGTCATGACCAGCAGATGACCCCTATTGATATTGGGGTTAAGGGGTCAAAGGGCAAGGTCACATTGACCTTGTAGGTAAAAATGCTTTCCAATCAATAACTTAAGAACCCTTAGGCCTAGGAACTTCAAACTTGGTATGGTGATTGGTCATGACCAGCAGATGACCTCTTGATTTTGGGGTCAAGGGGTCAAAGGTCAAGGTCACATTGACCTTGTAGGTAAAAACGGTTTCCGATCAATTAACTAAAAACTCTTAGGCCTAGGAACTTCAAACTTTGTATGATGATTGGTCGTGACCAGCAGATGACCCCTATTGAGTTTTGGGTCAAGGGGTCAAAGGTCAAGGTCACATTGACCTTGTAAGTAAAAACGGTTTCTGATCAATAACTTAAGAACGCTTAGGCCTAGGAACTTCAGACTTGGTATGGTGATTGGTCATGACCAGCAGATTACCCCTATTGATTTTTGGATCAAGGGGTCAAATGTCAAGGTCACATTGACATTGTAAGTAAAAACGGTTTCTGATCAATAGCTAAAGAACCCTTAGGCCTAGGAACTTCAAACTTGGTATGGTGATTGGTCATGACCAGCAGATGACCTATTGATTTTGGGGTCAAGGGGTCAAAGGTCAAGGTCACATTAACCTTGTAGGTAAAAATGGTTTCTGATCAATTAACTAAAAACGCTTAAGCCTAGGAACTTCAAACTTGGTATGATGATTGGTCTTGACCAGTAGATGACCCCTATTGAGTTTTGGGTCAAGGGGTCAAAGGTTAAGGTCATGACCAGTAGATACTTGATAACCCTTATCAATTGTTTGATCACTGGGTCAGAAGTCATGCATAATAACCTTATCACATGACTAATTGGCTGCTGATAGGGGGCATACATGTTTTACAAACATATCTTGTTGAAGGGAGATTTTGAAATCAGTAGATTTTCTGTTGTTGTTTAGAGGATTGTTGCTTTAATATATACATCTGCATGTTCTTTTTTTCTGGCCATTTCTTGTAATGGCTGTTTTGTTGTAATGAGCTGATAATCACTTAGTCTTCATGAAATTAGAAACTAAAGTTAGGAATGAACTATAAAGTGTAACAGAATGCCGCCACCAATGGGTTAAAACTATTTATCAATGTCTACTAGTTTCAATGACAGCAATAATTTTCATTGCAACTTCCACTACTTTTGATCATAAAAATGATGTAAATTGGCCATGGTAATGGAAAAGAAAAAAGTTGAAAATTATTAAATGCATCTTATAAAATGTTATCATGGTGTTATGGCATTCTTGTTTTATTCATCACAAGTACAACATAATAAATGAAAGTATTATTTTCTTGTAATTATTACAGTTTACTCACTGACTTATGAAATTAAATTCAGGATTCCAGCTAGGCAAGAAATAAAGGAAAAAAGTTACATATCTCTTCAGAGAAAAAAAAATCCATTTGATGATGGAATAACGAACAGTTTTGTTCTAACACCTGAAACAAGTGGTATTTAAATTAAAAGCATAAAAAACTTGTCTTAAGTTTAATATTAAACTTAGTGATTTATGTTTATTTCAGGGTACTTTCCATTACACCATGCCGACAGGCGGCAGCTGTTGCACAAAGCTCGGATGCTCAAGTTGCAAAAGCCCAACCATTGGCGCAATATGAAGATCTTTATCCAAGCTCCGAAAATATCCCAATATCTTTAGAAGAGAAGGTTGCTAACTGGAAGAGAGCTAATGAAATCTTTTTTGGTCCGGAACGTGATTTAAAAAATTTCCCACATCCTGTTATGCCAGTCACAGTTGCCGAGACATACCACTTTGGAATTATACCAACAAGATGGTTTAAGGCACTTTATCCCAAGCTTGGTGTCAGTGGTAATTTGATTTTTTTATTCCTCAATTTATGGCAGGAAACAGTTAAAATACAGGAACAGTCCGTATAAAGGTTTTTTGGTAAAGTTCCAAGGGCTTTACATTATTACCACCTGGTAGAAAGAAGGAATATTTAACACTTAACCTACTTAAATTGTATAATAAAATTTGCCTTGCTTTGAATTTGGTACATTCCAATGGAAGTTTAAAGGTATACTCTAATTAAATACTTTTTCTGCAGTGTTCCATTTTATTGCATCAGTAGCAATAAAATGGAACACTGCAGAAAAAGTATTTTAGCAGATTCACAGGCCAGGGTCTATACTGTTGACTATATTTTATTGTGATAAGAAATGAGTATATGTACATTTATTTTATGCTATAAACCAGTTAGATACTGGGTTTTATCCATGTGATAAAATTCATATTACCAGCCAGGTGATATAGCTCTTACATTTGAATTTTATGATTCCATATATTTGTAAATTTATATAAAATTTATTGTTGCATTTTATTCTTAATGAATTATTTCTGGATTCAAATATCACTATTGGTCTAAAATTGTTAATAGTAACTTCACAATAATGATTACAAACTACTTTTGTTTGTGCAGCAAATAGCCATTGAATGTCTGACGGCATCTTGGTTATGCATGTCTTTTCTGCCCTTCATTGAAAACAGTTGAAAATTGTTCATATTATACTTATCAGGAATAAAATAAAACTAAAATTTGTTTCCATTAGTGAATATGCTGTATACTATACATCAAGGTGAAAAAAATAGCCATATTTTCTCTTGTGTTTTGCACTCGTGAAAATATTGCAATTTTCTCACTTTCCAGTGCGATTTATAGCATATTCACTCAAACAAATATCCTTAATGTTATATAATGTATTTGTTGATGCCCTGATTTTACTATTTTTGTTATTTTAGGTGGCTACACAGTCACTCTTGGAACAATTCTATTTCTTCTCAGCAAGGAGCTTTTTGTATTGACCTATGAAACCATTGAGTTGATAGCCTTATTCAGCATATTGAATGCTGTGCGCTGGAAGTGGGGAGATAACATAAAAAACTTTTTGGACAGGAAACAAAAAGTAAGTCTACTTATACCTTTCCCCAAACAAAAGTTGGAATTATATATAGATATATTGGTTTGAGGTTGTCTGTCCAGTCATCTGTGTGCAATTCTTCCCGCCAATGACTTATTAAAAGGTGTTTTCTAATTTTTGTTACATCTTTCAATATTTTGATAATAAACAAATTACATAGTCAAGGCAAAAAAATTGCAGATTCAAATGGTACATAACTTAGCTTTGTAACTCTTTACTTTTCTGTATGCAGGAATACTTCTATGAGTATATGTCTCATAATTTCAGTAAGCAAATCATGAAAAGTACAAAAGTTACATTGAAAAAATAAGTACCATTGGAATAAGAAAATTTTTGCCTTGAACATCTTATATGTTTATTGTCTATTTTGACTGATTAATTGAAATACATCGACAATGTACAAGTTTGGAAACATACATGGCCAATTCTTTTTGCTTATAACATTATGAAAACATGATATTGCCTGTTAAAATGAGTCACAATATTTAGTCTTTGATCGCCTCATCCTAACTACATGTATGATTTATAATTTTACATGTATATCCTAATGTGTAGATCTGTATGGGTGTCGATGGCCCAGTGGTTATGGTCTCCTTGATTCCCTTGTGGGCTTGAATTTCACAAGGGACTTCTTTCATGTGAGGTAACTGTCCAGCTAACTAAAAGAATGCCTGTGGTTCTACTCAGGTGCCCTTTATTGTCTGAAAAAATGCACAGAAGGGCACCTAAGGTTTTCTTTCACCTGTACAGTTGGAAAGATTCTATATGACCAATATTGGTGGGAAGTAAAACCCAACCAGAAAAAACACATATATAGGGGTTTGCAAATTTATGGACTAAATATTTTAGCTGTTTCAACGTTGTTTTTTTAAGTTTTAAGATTTTTGATTGGTTACATGGTCATGTATAAACTGTTGTTAGTTATATAACCATTTATAATACTGCACTTTTGTAACGTCGCTTTTCATTGGATAATCATGACGTTTATATAGTTTTATATACACGGCTACTGTCGATTCATGAAGAAATCTTACTTTTTTCTTTAATAAGTGATGCGTGCGGTATTATAAATTCGTTATAAAGATTGTTGACAGGATATACGGCCGTATATAAACGGCTGTTTGAAATATAACCCTCGCCTGGCGGCTCGGGTTATATTTACAAACAGCTGTTTATATAGGGCCATATAAACTGTCAACGATCTTTATAACTAATATTATATTGGGCCTTATAACATTTCAAAAAATCTTTTTAACTATTAATATAAACCAAACTCTTAGTGAATTATTTCATGTGAAAAATAATTGACTTTTTCTTTAATAGGAAAAAATGGATTTTCTGTACCACACTCCATTGCATGAAGCAACAAAAGGCTACAAAACTGAACTTACTCAGATCAATACTGAAATTGAGAGAAAAGAAGCTATCCCAACTATCTTTGAGGCTAAACGGGTATGCTCTGTTTTCATTGTTTATCTGTTTTCATAAATCCTAATGCATGATCTTAAAGGGATCATCATGTATTAGTTTAGAATGAAAAAGTTGGAAAAATTCAGAGGTATACTACACATTTGTGAGGAGTGGAAAATTCTAATTTAGTTTTGCAAAAAAATATATATTTATTAGTCATATGGCCATATGCTAAATTATTTGTATAGTATGATTTCAGTGCGCTATGTTTTCATATAATCAGCATATAGATGGTTATATCTAAAAATGCTTCCAGCTTATCTCAATAAGCATTGAAATCCAAAAAAAACTGCTGGTTCAATCCTTGGGCAAGGCAAAATTTATCTGTGGTGACTGATAGTGGGCATTTGTCTTTTGAAGCTGATTCAGAAATTATATGGGAAAAGTAAATAGTCATTTGTGGAGAAATTGAAAATTATTGACTGGTTAGTTATCCAGGCAGAAAAGCTTGTTAAGTGCAGAAAAATAAAAACAAACATCCAAAATTTCTTATGTTACATTCTAGCAAGTCATAGTAATAGATATTTAATCAAGGCCATAGTAATAGATATTTAATCAAGGTCATAGTAATAGATATTTAATCACTAGTATTCATCTTTGTAAATGTAGAAAAAAAATGATTGGCCATTGAATTACGGTACTGTAGAACACTTAAGATAGAAGTGTGCTGTTTTTTCAAATGCAAAAACATGTTTATCTTTCTCTTGGAAAAAAGAACATAAGAATAAGATGAAAGGCTTGTTGAAAACTGTATTCTGTAAAAGAAGACTAATGAAACATTTACATATGACATTGATTTTTTTTTATTTCTTATTAACAAGTTATAAATTATTTCAGGCTCTGTTATGATCTTAAGGTTTTGCTAAAATATATTAATAAATATTTTTGGTTTCAGGAACAAGTTGATCTACAGCTAGAAGCTGAATACAGGGAACGATTGGCTAATGTTTATGCTACGGTCAGAAATCGTCTGGTATGTTTTTTACAATAATGTCCCCCTCATATTATAATGATTAACATTAAATCCATCTTAACATAGATCCAAATACCTTCTGGATTAAAAAACTAAAATTCTGTCTTAAACCAGGCCAAAAATTGCCAAGTTAACTTTAATGGTAACCTTAAAGAGCTCTCTGTAACTTGCAAAATATACATGTACAGAATCTATTTCAAACACTAGATGTTGTATCCTCAGATAGCTGTTTAAATCTTCTTCACCTCTATACATCTGATATATAAGCATGTCCCTCTTTTGATATTGAATTGTACTTTATTACTTAACAAACCCTTAATGTGCAGAATTTTTATGCCCCCACAGAGTGGGAGCATATAGCGTTGCACTTGTCCGTCTGTCTGTCCGTCCGTCCGTCTGTCCGTACGTCCCGAAATCTTGTGAACGCAACTCCTCTTAAACCGGATGGCAGATTTTGCTTAAACTTCCAGGGATGAACAACCTTAATGTGTAGATGGTAGTAAAGGAAGGAATTTTTGCTGAGACCAAATTTAACAGAATTATGGCCCTTTGTTGATTTTTTCACTATATACCATGTAAAAATTTTGTGAACGCAACTCCTCTTAAACCGGATGGCAGATTTTGCTTAAACTTCCAGGGATGAACAACCCTAATGTGTAGATGGTAGTAAAGGAAGGAATTTTTGCTGTGACCAAATTTAACAGAATTATGGCCCTTTGTTGATTTTTTCACTATATACCATATAGAAATTTTGTTAACGCAACTCCTTCTTAAACCGGATGGCAGATTTTGCTTAAACTTCCAGGGATGAACAACCCTAATGTGTAGATGATAGTAAAGGAAGGAATTTTTGCTGTGACCAAATTTAACAGAATTATGGCCCTTTGTTGATTTTTTCACTATATACCATATAGAAATTTTGTGAACGCAACTCCTCTTAAACCGGATGGCAGATTTTGCTTAAACTTCCAGGGATGAACAACCTTAATGTGTAGATGGTAGTAAAGGAATGAATTTTTGCTGCGACCAAATTTAACAGAATTATGGCCCTTTGTTGATTTTTTCACTATATACCATATATATGTTGTCAGTGGGGGCATCCGTGTCCTTTGGACACAGTTCTAGTTGAAATGGACTTGACCACCTTCCAATTTTTGAACTGTCCTTTAATTGGAGATTGAAGTTAGTCTGCTAACAGTATAGAACTCGACCAGACTGCACTGATGTTTTATACTGGTGGCAGATGTTAATCCATCTTGCTTTAACCAGGTTTTTTTCACTGTTGACTTTATGAAATGGAAATACATTATGATCAGAAATTTAAATCATGAAAAATGATTTTACAGGAGTACCAGGCAGATTTGGAACACACAGTTCGATCTTTTGAGCAGACCCATATGGTAAACTGGATTGTGAACAGTGTGAAAAAAGGAATCACACCACAGCAGGAGAAAGACAGCATTGCAAGCTGTATTCGCACATTGAAGGGCTTGTCGGCCACAGCATCTATTTAAATAACGGAGAAATCACTAACTGTAGTTGTTTTATGATGATAACATAGTTTAATATTGTGTTTACAAATACGAAATTATTTCAATTTTCATCACAGAAAGTTCGTACCATGTATGGTTTTGGTTTTCGATGCCAAAATAATTTCTTCATTAAAAGTGAACATGGAACTTTTTATAGACTTCATTTTGAGAGATTGACAAAAATGTAAGAGTTGATATTTAAACAAAAATTTGTTTGAGGAATTAAAGAATTTGTATGTTGAATATTGTTTATTTTGTGTTACCATCTTGTAAAATTTCCAAGTAACTAGCCAAAGTGGCCTGTGAAAAATAAGTAGCGAAACACCTTGGTTTCTGAAAATGAAATGAATTTCAAATGGAACAACTAATTGTCCCCCGCCTTTTCGAAGAAAAAAGGGGGATATAGAAATAGGCTCCGTCCGTCTGTCTGTCCGTCACACTTTCGTGTCCAGTCCATAACTTTGTCATTTGGTAATCTTATTTTCCACTTTCGAGCACTTTTGGGCTTGTCAAACACCTGATCTACCCGTACGAAAATGTGGCTCTTGCATTTTGGTGATGTAAATTAGGTGATGTAAAGTAGTTTCTGCTTGCCCTGGGCAGGTTTGAACCAGTGCAGCTAGAGATGTTGGTGTTTTTGTCGCCTTGGATACTACTTGAAGGCACCCAGCGGGCATTAAAGTATAATTGCTACACTGGAAAAAACATGCCATGATGGAAATACTTTTTGGTATCGGGTAATACAAGAACCCTGGAGTTTTTCTTTAGGTTATATCATACTAGTATTTTGGGGGGGGTGCTCAGTATTTTAGGGTACCATTGAGTTCATTTTACATGTGTGGGTACCTTCTAGTATATTCGAAGATAAGTGGGATGACAATAACCCCAGCAGCAAACAAAATCCTTAGATTATCAGAAACTCATGCTGCCAAAATTTATATACTTCCTATTCGATTCTGGTATTACAATATTCCAAGCAATGTCTTGCCAAACCTCGAGTTTTGGGTTCGTCTGTTGGAAGGGACAGGTGTAAGAATGAAGATGTGATCCCTGATAAGACAGCAGATTTCAACTTTTAAATACTGGACACAGTAGAGACAGACACAATGAGAAAAACAATTATGATATAAATATATTTCTGTATCATTACCAAGAAAGCTCCCAGATGTTCAACTTCTTCCCAAAACATAACATGTACCTGACCATGTCAATAAAAGGAAAACGGAAAATATTAGAAATTTTGAAACAAAATCTTAAGTAAATCCCTTCCGTAACAAATATGGCAAGAAGTAAACTGTCATACCTAGTCAAACATGTGAAGTCTTTAGTAGATGCCATTGGCAACAAAGATGTAGGTGTTGTTAAAAACATAAAATGAATTAAACTTTGAAGAAAATCTAAGATGAAAGAAAAGTTGGGAGTAAAAAAAGAAGTGCAATTGTAATAGGATGATAAGACACATATATTAAAAGATAAAGTGAATACCTCCAGAAATAAAGAAGTTATAGTTAAAATTAAATATTCTTTAAGAAAATTTTATGTTTAATTGGAGATAATTCTGGAAATACTGATTCTAGAGATACGAACCTAATATGTTGACAAGGAACATATATTTGGAGTGAATAACTCAAGAAACAAGCAATTATCATAGTATTGCAAGCAATCCATAAGTCCCCTACCGGTAAGAGCCCAAGCAACATTCTGAAGGGCCATTGGCCATTCACTTATGTTCCTATTTTAAGTAAATTTGTTGAAAAAGTTCTTTAAAAGTGATCACAGGAAACAGTTTTTATGTACAGACGGACTGAAGGACACTCTAAAGTTATTTTTTAAACATCCCTGTTATCAAAATATAACATTTTTAAAATCCTATCATGATTGAAGAAGTTGGAGTAAAAATTACCAATTTCTCAAAAAAAAAATCTAAGTTCAAAAGGGGCATAATTCTGGAAATAGTCTTGCTAGAGTATTGAACACTCACAAATGTTGAGTGATAATAAGAAACATTTATATGAAGTTTGAAGTAGATACATTCAGAAAAAGAAGTTATTAAAAAAAAAAACAATGTTTTTTTCATGAAAATTTTAAGTTCAAGGGAGGTAATTCTGATAAATTTTGTGCTAGAGTTGTAAACCTTGTCACATACGATGTGGTTGATTACAAGCAACTTATATTTAAAGTTTGAATGAAATACCTTAAGAAATAAAGAACTTATAGTGAAAAAATTTAAAAACTAGAATCAGAAATCTTGAACTTCAGTCTATTTGTTGCCATAGCAACCAGAATGTTCAACATAGGAAGATAAGAAAAGGATGTGCATAATTTCCATACTGCCATATACCCATATGTCAAGTTTCATAAACATATTTTCAGTACTTTTTGTGTTATCACTGGATCCAGGTTATGTGTAAAATTTGCCATATTTTCAGTCTATTTGTTGCCATAGCAACCAGAATTTTCAACATAGGAAGAAAAGAAAAAGACGTGCATAATCTCCATACTGCCATCTATCCATATATCAAGTTTCATAAAAATATTTTCAGTACTTTTTGCGTTATTGCGGGATCCAGGTTATGTGTAAAATTTGCCATATTTTCAGTCTATTTGTTGCCATAGCAACCAGAATTTTCAACATAGGAAGAAAAGAAAAAGACGTGCATAATCTCCATACTGCCATCTATCCATATATCAAGTTTCATTAAAATATTTTCAGTACTTTTTGTGTTATCGCGGGATCCAGTTTTGTGGACGGACTGACGGACGGACAGACAGACGGACGGAGGGTAAACCTAAAGTCCCCTCCGGTAAACCGGTAGGGGACTAATAAAGAAGTTACAGTGGAAAAACGAATAAGGAAATTTTATGTTTGATAGGTTGATAACTTTTGAAACATTGGTGCTATAGTTAAGTACCTTGTCACTTGTTGGTGATAATAAGGAATTCATATTTGAAGTCTGAAGAAAATCCTTCGAGAAATTTCACTAAAAAATCTGGAGACAGACACGAAGGTGAGTAGGACAGCTCTCCTTAACTATATTTGGTACGGTAAAGTTTTTAGCAACTTCAGGAAGCCAGGAATGTGAGTAAATGGTATGTGATAGCAATGGGCTTGCAGTATTTCAGTGACGCAATATTATTTCATTGGATATTTTGCTACAAGCAAGTACTATAATCTATACAGTTTATCAGCTTAGCTCATTGGGGGAAAGCATTGGCTAGATAATCAAGAGGTCCTTGGTGAGGTGTAATTTCTCTGGGACAGTTTATCTAGGTCATTGAGACCAATGGTTTAATTTCCCATACCACTGATTCAGAAATCATGTCACAGTAGTTGGTCACTTTCGGAGAAATTGGAAACTACTGGTTAGTTATCCAGGAAACCCAGTTCGGTGGATTGTCCACCAAGGTATGACTAAAACATGTTTTAAATTGGAATTAAAACCAGCGAACAAACTGAAAGATAATAGAGATCTGATTCATAATGACCAGCAGGGCTTATTGCTTAAGTATATGTATTTACCGTTATTTACAGAACACATACACAAATTTGTTATAAAAATTTTAATATATACACATAAATTAACAATAATGTCTTCATTTAGTATACATACACAGAAAGTTTTTGGGGGTAAAAATAGTACAAACAAAAAAGTGCAGACATTTTGATGGCAAATATACCTTGCCATTTGAAAAAGAAATCTACTACATTTTCTCAGTAACAAATTAAGTACCACTAACCAAAAACAATTATCAAATCTCTTAAAAATAAGAGACGTTACAAATGTATATGATATTAATCATTTATTCATGCAAAATACATGAATAATAGTTAATTTAGATATTCATACATCTTATTAACATACCAATCCTTCATAAAAAGAATAATAAATTAATAAAATTTGAAATATAATTGTCCTGTAATATTGAGGGCTACTACATTTTACTAAACGTTGAAATAAGAACCCACAAGATGGGCTATGAAAATCTTCCAAATATATAGATGATTTTGATATAATTTCTTGCTGAAATGTTATATCAAATTTATTTCAAAATTAGGTGGAAGTAGCACTTTGTTTAAATTTCATAAGAAACTATAAATTGACCAGATGTACATGTATCCACAGGGACCCAGCACAGTGTTGGGATAGTGTAAAAAAAGTAATTCTAGAAAAAAATATATACTGTATATATAATATATAGTCTATATATTATATATACAGTATATCTTTTTTTCTAGAATTACTTTTTTTACACTATCCCAACACTGTGCTGGGTCCCTGTGCATGTATCAAGAAACTAAAAGCTTGGTAGACCACCATATATACATGTATTTCATAGTTCTATACTGATTTCTGACATGCAATTTACATTGTGTAATACTTGAAGATAATACCACAAATTTTCTAAAAATTGTGATGTTAGAAAGCACCCAAAATAGACATTGTTACCTATGTTATTTTTCTACCATCTAGAAAGTAAATGTCCTCATGTATAAAAAAAATTAATGAAATTTGAAACAAAAATTAAAATAAACCCAAAAATATGAAATTTCTTGAATGCACTGACTAGCAAATTTACATGTTTATATGCAGAGAGAAAAGGGAGCACTTTTACAATAATAATATGCCAACAAAAAGCAACATGCATAGCATCAATAACATAATCACTTAACTGGAATTTCTTAAATGGACTTATCCAGCTTCCATTTTATGAACAGTCCATTATCAAATTTGGGGAGATCAAGATGAAAATTTAAAGTTGACCAATAGTTACGAGCCTGGTAAGACTGCAAGGATGTACAGGTTGGTCTGGCTCTATACTGGTGGCAAAGGTTAATTACTTTTCTTATAACGGGTAAAGGGAGAACTTGAGATATATTATCAATAAAGACTTTGTACTGATATATTTTTTACCGAGAATACATTTTGAAAATATTTGTTTTTTTCACTGGTAAAGAAAACATAACTATGGGTAATATTACGAAAAAAAGAAACCCTAAATTTTTCAATTTAACTCAGATTTATATATTTATAAAATAAAGCATTTTACCTTTTCAAATAGAAAATTTGTATATAAAACAAATTATCTAAATGACACACGTAATCAATAACAAAAATAAAATACATCCAGCCCCGCTCCCATAGCTTTTATTCCTGTCCCAATAGTGAAATCAATTATCAGATATACATGTATATTATTTTATATGTAACGTGTCACAGCTGTTGTCTAGTATGGGATAATTTTTGGTCAACAAATATCACACTCTTGTATATGTGATCAACACCATAATATAGTCTAGTTATCATTTCTACGCTCATGCCAAGGGAGGTAATCCAGCCTTCTCCCGACATTTTTGTATCAACGCTCGTAACATGAACTGTTTTCTTGACAACTCTCGAACTCTCTGCAAATAAAATGCTTAGATTGATTGATGTGCTGATATTAAAATGTATTTTAGTACTTCATAGTTTTCAAATTGACAATTCTTGGTTACAATATTTGACTATAGTTTTCTTTGCAATTGTATCCTCAACTTTTTTTTTTGTTTTTTTTTTTTGTTTTGGGTTTTACGTCACATCGACACAGTATAGGTCATATCGCGATGTTCCAGCTTTACTGGTGGAGGAAGACCTCAGGTGCCCTTCCGTACATTATTTCAGGCACAAACGGGCACCTGAGTAGAACCACCGACGTTCCGTATCCTCAACTAATTCTAAAATAGTTTGGTTAAAAACAGAAGCTTTAAAGGCAAGTAAGACTTATAAATGTTTAAAAAATTACCTCATATTTCAGTATCTTTTTTATCCAGTACTGAAGATCATTATATACAATTTCTGTTTGCTCATATCTATTGCTTTTCTTCAGTTAAATACGTGTTTATTTTGGTATTTTTTGTTGGGCTTTATGTCATACAAAAGATGAAATTTATGGGCATACTCAAATCTAAGTAGTAAAGAGATACATATATCTAGATACCCTTCCATGAATTATGTCTGACATGTTCACCATACTAAAATCACAGAAGTAAAACTAGAATGATACTGTTAACCTTGGACTTTAAATACAAGGAAATAAGTTTTCACTGATAGTTCATCATTCTCAGCAGGTTTTGAGATTTATCAAATATGTAACCTGAACCACTTTACTTATGAAGCTCTCTTTATGAGTTTGCAACTGATTATTAGCCATATAAAAGTAAGAAATTTGATTGGGCACAACAAACATTCAATGAAAATTAAATCATATCATGAACAGCATATCTTTCAACACCTATTGGTGCTCTGTGTTGCAACTTTCACGATCCTAAAATCATGACCATAGCATAATAAAGAGCAAGACAATCTATGCTTGGCCTCCATGACCTTTATTTTGACTTTATAAATATGGGCCGGGGCCCAACACAGGAACCAAGCACTCTAAATACAATGGATGAGAGGACAAATGAGCAACTATAATGTTCCATCAAAAACATTCAAGAAGCATAATTGATGCTGGCAGAAAAGACTGGCAGAAATTACTACACGTGTATTATCAGATACTACATAATACAGTCATTCCTGACATTTACAGTATTTACAGTGGTATGTTCTGCTCTGTAGATAAGCACTCAAACATGTAAAAATATCTAAATAAATAATTGATCTACACACCTTCAAAAAGACTTCAAGATCTATCACATCTTTCCGTAACGCTTCACTTAGATAGTATATAGCATCCTCTATGGCCTGCTCTTCTGCAAATGCTTTCAACAATCTGTTAGATAAATAATAACATTATTATAAGTGGAAACAAAAAGTCTACAAACTTTGTTCATGATCGTAAAACTGCATGTATTTTTACATCAGTTCAGATATATAGATTTTTGCAAATTCCCTGGAAAATACCTATGACGTATTGAAATATCAAGGAATAGTCCTTCCTTGCAGTAATAAGGTAGAATTATGATTTTCAAAATTGTTATTTCCAATATAACTCAAACCTTCTGTAACTTGGCATCTGAATTTTCATACATTTCTTAGACAGTATTTATTATTCTTCATACACTTATATATTTCTTTCAACTGGAGGCATTCATCTTTAACACAGGAAATATCGTTTGAAAATATTTTCTGAAGATCAGTTGTGACAAAATCTTGAGTGACTTCAATTTGAATACATCTCAAGCTCGTTTCCTAGGATTACTCCGTACTGGTGAGGCCAGAGTAGGGATCACATCCACAACATTGATTGAGTGGCTAACACCTTAAACAACAGTCCACCTGACCCAATGGTATTAGTTGTCCTTTGTTTTTCTGGTTTTTAATCCAATTTTAACACATTTTTGTACCTATCTGTACAGTTTGTTCACCAAACCAGTTTCCCTGGATAAAAAATCAGTAATTACAAATTTAATCAAGTTACCATCTACTAATCCTACATGATTTCTGAATCAGCTGTGAGTGTAAGATTAATGATCTATAGAGTCAATGTCTGAGCCCAATGATCATAGTGAAATTTTGCATCCCCTGATGATTGAACCAGCACCCTCCTGGACCCAATGATCTCCTTATAGAGCTAAGTCAGTGATTAAATGCACAGTTAAACCAATACTTACTGTCTATAAAGTGGTGCAGTAGTAACAACAGCATCATCAATATTTATCTGGTCTTGGTTCTCGAGGCGAGATAATGTCTCTTTAACTTCACCATCCTTCTGTTTCAATAATATGATATTTGCTCCTATCTCCGACTGTAAAATAATGTATGTGCAAATGAAAATTAATGAGAATTAAAAATGCCTTTAATACAATTAATATCAACATTGTCAATAGCAATCCTTTAACTTTGGCAGATATAAACAATTTCTTAATTATATGACAATTTGGAATATTGGTTTTGTGCCAATCCTTTAGATAATGTGTTAATTATATCCTCACTTGAATTTCATCAAGCTACAATCAAAAGTCTCAAGTCTAAACCTGAATTTATTTAAGGAACTTGTCCAACTTCCATATTTTTGGAATTGACCATTGTCAATTAGGGAATGGTATGTAAGGGATATCAAGATGAAAATTAACAGCCAACAGTATCGAGCCTACACTGATTGCACGAATGTGGAGGCTTATCACTGTCAGCTTCAACAGGTTTAAGCTTTGTAAAGAACTGTCCGAAGACAGTAATGCTCAACTATTTGAAAAAGTTGTCACAAGTGTGTTTTATTGAGTATAATAATGCTTACCAATATGAATACATAAAATTGTCCGAAAAGGTACAAAGGCTTGTTATTAAGATGTTTTATTGAGTAAATCACTGCTTTATTATCATGACTGAATAAAATGTCCCAAAAAAGGCACAGACCCTTCAGTGGTTATGGATATACCAGCTTACAAGCAAAACCTTTCCCAAGAATTTCTAAGCTGAAAAAAGGGGCATAATTATGAAAAAAAAAGTAAGAGTTATGGGAATTATGCCAATCATGTAAGATAATCACAGAGAACAAGTGTGTGAAGTTTCAATTCATTCCCTTCAGTAGTTATGGAAATACCAGCTTAAATGCATATTCTTAACCAAGAATTTTTAAGTGGAAAAAGGGGCATAATTATGCAAAAAAGCAAATCAGAGTTATTGGACTTATGCCAATCATGTAAGATAATCACAGAGAACAAGTGTGTGAAGTTTCAATCCATTCCCTTCAGTAGTTATGGAGATACCAGCTTATTTGAAACAAGAGGGCCATGATGGCCCTAGATCGCTCACCTGACTTATCAAACTCATCCAAACAATTACCTAGACAAGCATTCTGACCAAGTCTCATGACAGGTGAGTCAAAAATATGACCACTACAGTGATAACAAGGATTATCCATATTTGAGCAGTGCGACCTAGTTTTTTACCCAGGTGACACATATTCAAACTTGACCTAGAAATCATCAAAACAAACTTTCAGACCAATTTCCAGGATACTTGGATCAAAACAGTAGCAACTAGAGTGTTAACAAGATTTTTCTATTTTTAGCTCCGGTGACCTAGTTTCACATCGATTTCAAACTCATCCAAACAATTACCTAGACAAGCATCCTGACAAAAGTTGATGATAATTGAGTCAAAAATGTGACCACTAGAATGTTAACAAGGTTTTTCCATATTTGGGCGGTGTGACCTAGTTTTTCATCCAAGATGACCCATGTTCGATCTTGACTTAGAAATCATTAAAACAAACTTTCAGACCAATTAACAGAATATTTGGATCACAACAGTAGCCACTAGTGTGTTAACAAGATTTTTCTATTTTTAGCTCCTGTGGCCTAGTTTTTCATCCGAGATGTCCCATGTTCGATTTATTCCAAGCAATGACCTAGACAAGTTTCCTGACAAAGTTTGATGACAATTGAGTCAAAATTGTGACCACTAGAGTGTTAACAAGGTTTTTCTATTTTTAGCTCCTGTGACCTAGTTTTTCATCTGAGATGACCCATGTTCGAACTCATCCGAGCAATCACCTAGACAAGCATCTTGATCAAGTTTGATGATGATTGATGCAAAAATGTGACCGCTAGAGTGTTAACAAGGTCTTTCTATTTTTAGCTCCGGTGACCTACTTTTTTCATCCGAGATGACCCATGTTCAAACTCATCCTAGCTATCACCTAGACAAAAATCCTGACCAAGTTTGATGATAACTGATGCAACAAGAGCTGTCCGTAAGACAGCGCGCTCGACTTTTTTATTGCTTGCCAATAAAAAAAGTTTTTGCAGTAAAAGGCAATACAAGAATCTCTGTATTTTTAAAGTGAACAATGGCCATGAGCATTAAGATATTTAGTGAAGAATTATTTTATTATGACATAATTTATGGTAAAGTGAACAAGTGGATAGGAATGAATTTTTTTAGATTTTTTAAGTTTTTTAGTGCTTGCCTATAATACAAAACATTGACAGTTAAGGGCCATAATTCAAATAAAATCTTTGACAGAATTACCTTCTCCTGGACATGTTTGGGAATCATGATTGTAAACAAGTATTCCAACTTTCAAATTAATATCTCAAACAGTTCAGTCAAAAAGTGGACTGGTACTAAAAACTTAACCAAGATTCTAAGTCGATAAAAGGCCTTAATTTTTAAAACAAATCCTTGACAGAGTTACCTTCTCTTGCGTACAGATGGGGGTAATGATGTGAAATAGCATTAAAAGTTTCAAAGCAATATCTCAAAGGGTTAAGGCAATAAGTGGATTTTACCCATATTCAATGTATTTTCTAAGTCAAAAAGGGGCATAATTCTGTCAAAAACCTTGACAGAGTTATGTCCTCTTGTCTGTTGATGAAGGTCGTGATGGTAAACAAGTATGGTCAGTTTCAAAGCAATACCTCCAATGGTTTTGAAATAAAGTGAGGTGGTACAAAAAACTTAACCAAGCTCAATACACTTTCTAAGTCAAAAAAGGGCCATAATTCTGTCAAAAACCTTGACAGAGTTATGTACTCTTGTCTGTAGATGGAGGTTATGATGGTGAACAAGTATGGTAAGTTTCAAAGCCATACTTGTAATACTTCTGAAATAAAGTGGGGTGGTACGAAAAACTTAACCAAGGTGTGACGCCGACGCCGACGCCGACACCGGGGCGAGTAGGATAGCTCCCCTTTTCATAGAAAAGTCGAGCTAAAAATGTGACCGCTAGAGTGTTAACAAGGTTTTTCTATTTTTAGCTCCGGTGACCTACTTTTTCATCCAAGATGACCCACGTTCGAACTCATCCGAGCTATCACCTAGACAATCATCTTGACCAAGTTTGATGATGATTGATGCAAAAATGTGACCACTAGAGTGTTAACAAGGTTTTTCTATTAATAGCTCCAGTGACCTAGTTTTTCATCAGAGATGACCCATGTTAGAACTCATCCAAGCAGTTGACTAGACAAGCATTCTGAAAAAGTTTGATGACGATTGGCTAAAAAATGTGACCACTAGTGTTCACAAGGTTTTTCAATTTATAGCTCCTGTGACCTACTTTTTCATCAGAGATGACCCATGTTCAAACTCATCCAAGCTATCACCTTGACAAACATCCTGACCAAGTATGATGATGATTGGGTCAAAAATGTGACCTCTAGAGTGTTCACAAGGTTTTTTAATTTTTAGCTCTTGTGACCTAGTTTTTCATCCGAGATGTGCCATGTTCGCACTCTTCCGAGCTTTCAACTAGATAAGCATCTTGACCAAGTTTGATGATGATTGAGGCAAAAATGCGAGCAAAAAGATGAGCAAGCTCAGGTGAGCTAAAAGCTTGAACACAGAGACATCAACAAATGGGTAACGGCATTAACCCTTATTATTCTGCGAATTAGTCATGCTAAAAATCTTTAAAATTAATGACCAATGTATGTTTTACTAAATTTAATATTGTAATGACAGCAAATTTATTTTTAAAGTCAAGGTCATATTTCAATAAGTTACAGATCAAGACTGAAGGTTTAGTGCATAGAATATAAATGATATGGCCAAGATTGGGTAAAAACAGATTTCCCAAAGCCCTATCCAATTCATCAATGCTTGGGAATAATAATTTACAGCCATGAATGCTGTACTCCATATACAACAATGATCTACAAACCTTTTCTTTTTCCAAATCTTTGATCATTGTTTCCAGTTTATCTTTACCCTTCAGCAAGTCTGCCTGTGTTTTATACAAAACATCCATTTCAGCCTGTAAGTGCAAAATTATTCTTATGAAATGTCCTACTAGTTAAAACATAAATTTTGTGAACTTATAATACTTTATCTTAAATGGACTAGTAAATCCTTCAATTTGGACAAAACCATTAAAATTTCAAAATACTGAACAGTGTATGTCATAATGAGATAGCTAGGATATGCCGACTGATCTTGGTCTACAGTTGTTGCAACATTCAGTTGCCACCAGCAGCCTAATGGTTAAAGACAATCACTACAGGAACATCGTTTCATAGGATTTATATAAACTCTGCATGATCTAAAAATATGACAGAGAAATCTTAAATGAATAAAGATAAGTGTTTGATTATACAGCCAATCTTCGTGGTCTGGCTTTCAAGGCGTTTGGCAATTGAATTTCAGATGGCAAGTTGGAATTAAGGATAAAATCATTCACCAATGAATATTGTAAAAAAATTCTTTTACATTCACCTGCACAGAGCAGACTATGATCATAATCAGACGGTATGGATGTGTCCACTGACCCTTGGTCATACTGGTCACATGGGTAACATATATTGGTGCCAGCAGACAAACGGTTAAACAGATATAATAAGAATGGGCAAACATAACATTTAGTAAATTAAAACGAAAGTGTTAATGAATGAACAAATGATGACTACAGTAAGTAAACATATATGACCTGTGCTTGAGCAAATGTCTCTTTCAGCCTCCATTTTATTTTGTCCTCAACTGCAGACAACAGCGATGCTTTTAAATGTTCCTCTGTCACTGTGTTAGTACCACTTCCACTGTAATTTGATGCTGCTGTAATGTCAGGGTAAAATATATAATAATCTAATGTAATTTGATGCTGCTGTAATGTTAGGAAAAATATACAGTAATCTACTGTAATTAGATGATGCTGTAATGTTAGGATAAAATATACAATAATCTACTGTAATTCAATGCTACTGTAATGTCAGGATAAAATATACAATAATCTACTGTAATTTGATGCTGCTGTAATGTCAGGATAAAATATACAATAATCTACTGCAATTAGATGTTGCTGTAATGTCAGGATAAAATATACAATTATCTACTGTAATTTGATGCTGCTGTAATGTCAGGATAAAATATACAATAATCTACTGTAATTTGATGCTGCTGTAATGTCAGGATAAAATATACAATAATCTACTGTAATTTGATGCTGCTGTAATGTCAGGATAAAATATACAATAATCTACTGTAATTTGATGCTGCTGTAATGTCAGGATAAAATATACAATAATCTACTGTAATTCAATGCTGCTGTAATGTCAGGATAAAATATACAATAATCTACTGCAATTAGATGCTGCTGTAATGTCAGGATAAACTAGAACTGCCACTATCATGGCTTGAATACCCCCGCATACCACTTTGTCAGAATCAACAGTGGCCATTTAGAGCTCAAGGACAACCTCCCTGCCAAATCTGAGGTTACTAAGCCAGTGCATTGCTAAGTTATGTATTCTACATGCTTCAAATGTGAAAATGTCAAAATCAATTCATTGCTGACAGGACATTCTTTAGCAATTGAAAAGAAAAGCTTTTTTTTGTCAAGGTCCCTGTGACCTTGACCTTTGACCCAGTGACCTCAAAATCAATAGGGGTCACCTTATAGTCATGATCAACATCCATACCAAATATGAAGACTGTGGGTCAAAGGAATCTTAAGTTAATGGGTAGGCAAACTTTTTGAAGTCAAAGTCCCTATGACCTTGACCTTTGATCCAGTGACCTCAAAATCAAAAGGGGTCATCTACTAATTATGATCAACATCCATGCCAAATATGAAGACTGTGGGTCAAAGGAATCTAAAGTTATTGGGCAGACAAAGTTTTTGAAGTCAAAGTCCCTGTGACCTTGACCTTTGACCTGGTGACCTCAAAATCAATAGGGGTCATCTACTAATCATGACTAACCTCCATGCCAAATATGACAACTTTAGGTCAAAGGAATCTTAAGTTAATGGGCGGACAAGCTTTTTGAAGTCAAGGCCCCTGTGACCTTTGACCTGGTGACATCAAAATCAATAGGGGTCATCTATTAATCATGACTTACCTCCATGCCAAATATGAAAACTGTAGGTCAAAGGAATCTTAAGTTATTGGGCATACAAGCTTTTTGAAGTCAAGGCCCCTGTGACCTTGACCTTTGACCTAGTGACCTCAAAATCAATAGGGGTCATCTACTAATCATGACTAACCTCCATGCCAAATATGAAGACTAAGGGTCAAAGGAATCTTAAGTTATTGGACGGACAAGCTTTTTGAAGTCAAGGCCACTGTGACCTTGACCTTTGACCTAGTGACCTCAAAATCAATAGGGGTCATCTACTAATCATGACTAACCTCCATGCCAAATATGAAGACTAAGGGTCAAAGGAATCTTAAGTTATTGTACGGACAAGCTTTTTGAAGTCAAGGCCCCTGTGACCTTGACCTTTGACCTAGTGACCTCAAAATCAATAGGGGTCATCTACTAATCATGACTAACCTCCAAGCCAAATATGAAGACTAAGGGTCAAAGGAATCTTAAGTTATTGGGCGGACAAGCTTTTTGAAGTCAAGGCCCCTGTGACCTTGACCTTTGACCTAGTGACCTCAAAATCAATAGGGGTCATCTACTAATCATGACTAACCTCCATGCCAAATATGAAGACTAAGGGTCAAAGGAATCTTAAGTTTTTGGACGGACAAGCTTTTTGAAGTCAAGGCCACTGTGACCTTGACCTTTGACCTAGTGACCTCAAAATCAATAGGGGTCATCTACTAATCATGACTAACCTCCATGCCAAATATGAAGACTAAGGGTCAAAGGAATCTTAAGTTATTGGACGGACAAGCTTTTTGAAGTCAAGGCCCCTGTGACCTTGACCTTTGACCTAGTGACCTCAAAATCAATAGGGGTCATCTACTAATCATGACTAACCTCCATGCCAAATATGAAGACTAAAGGTCAAAGGAATCTTAAGTTATTGGGCGGACAAGCTTTTTGAAGTCAAGGCCCCTGTGACCTTGACCTTTGACCTAGTGACCTCAAAATCAATCGGGTCATCTACTAATCATGACTAACCTCCATGCCAAATATGAAGACTAAGGGTCAAAGGAATCATAAGTTATTGGGCTGACAAGAAAAAACCGACGGACGGACGGCCGGAAGGACGGCCGGACGGACGAGCTGATTCCAGTATACCCCCCTTACAACTTTGTTGTGCGGGGGTATAAATATACAATAATCTACTGTAATTTGATGCTGCTGTAATGTCAGTATAAAATATACAATAATCTACTGCAATTTGATGCTGCTGTAATGTCAGGATAAAATATACAATAATCTACTGTAATTTGATGCTGCTGTAATGTCAGGATAAAATATACAATAATCTACCGTTAATTGAATGCTGCTGTAATGTCAGGATAAAATATACAATAATCTACTGTAATTCTATGCTGCTGCAATGTCAGGATAATATATACAATAATCTACTGTAATTTCATTCTGCTGGAATGTCAGGATAAAATGTACAATAACCTACTGTAATTTGATGCTGCTGTAATGTCAGGATAAAATATACAATAATCAACTGTAATTTGATGCTGATGTAATGTCAGGATAAAATATACATTCTAACACTATCGGAATTTTTTCTATATAAACAAAGAAGGCCCGAAGCGTGCATTTTTCTGCAACCATGCACTCGCCGTTCTTATTACCTCCCTGTGTATTTTCACATTAAGGGCGCCATTTTGTTTGAAAAATCTGGTAAATTAAACAAGTTATTGTCGAATTTTGTTGTGAAAACTATCTAGAATGAAAGAAAATGGTCTAACTAAGAAAATAAATCCGAACACCAACATCTTTAATTCAGTCGTTAACGCTGTACAGACGTTTAAAGTGTTGTTTATGTGACGTCACAATCTAGCGCCAAACAGCACGTGCAAAACAATCAAAATCAAGTACGTTATTTTAACGTCGCAGACGAGTTAAGTTTTACATATATTTCACTTTTGATAATTTGTATTTCGCTTGGAAAATTATAGACTGAAATAAAATAACCAAACAAAGTTTTATCAACGTTTTCAAAATTCGTTATTCTCAAAATGTTTCTACACACGGTAGATTTAACGACAGTTTTTTTCAACCCACTGGAATGGCCTTTAAAGAACGTTTCTATTAGCAACTCTGAGGCGAAAACAAATTTAACCGCCAAACATAAAGTCCAACTTTATAATAATAATTATATTTTTTCTTGACGTGTTAGAATGGAAATAGATATTAATTCTTAGTGCATTATTGTATAATAATGCACGTTTTTCGTTCAAACGCTTTGTAATTTATCACTCAGGCCTATCGGCCTTCGTGATTATATTACTACGCATTTGAACTCAAACCGTGCATTATTCTACAACAATGCACTCAGAATTGATATCTATTTCCTAAATAATCTACTGTAATTAGATGTTGCTGTAATGTCAGGAAAAAATATACATTAATCTACTTTATTACATGCTTTTTGGTGGTTTATAGAAATATCAATGAATATAAAACTTATAATTTCACTGTACAATTTCACTGTTTTGAATTAAAGGCCCTTACATTGTTTCAGTGAAATACCAGCCTGCACAGTACTGGAAACCAACTAAAAGATGTGATGTCTTAAATGATGTCACGTTGTATCATTATTGTGTGTGTTTTTCATTTAGTAATTTGTTTAATGTCTTTTAAATGTTTCTTTGCATATAATAAGAAGAAAATTTGTTATGTTTAGTGTAAGATCGAATTATATGTCACCTCATGAACACCAAAAGTTCATTTTAACTTGTGACTGCGCCACTTATGAAATATACCTTTTGGTGCTCACTCTGTGAAATATATTGCGATCTTACACTGAACTAAACAAATATCCTCTACGTTATTTGATGCTGCTGTAAAATCATGGTAAAATATGCAATAATCAGGACCACAGTGATAGGAATCAATTTCAATATAGCACCACGACTGTTACTACATCTCTATGCCTATTTTTGTACATTGTGCCATCAATAAATATAGCAAGTACACCTAGATTTTGCTGATCTACATTAACTTTTATGACCATGTATGCAATAAGGATGTAACAGTTATTATTAGTAAAATAAATCGATGAAAACAAATAAATTCGTTGAATTTATATCCCCCATCGAGTACTGGTTATTATCAACACAACAACTGAAGACTTAAGGCTTTATTTATATAATCATGGCATAAATAGTATTTTTCTTTGAACTTGATAAATATTCAGGGCAATAACATAGCCATAACTTTGTGTTAAATAGTAAAATCTGGAAATGTCAATGAGATGTATGCATACTACATATTAATCAAGGGCCATAAATCTGAGGTTTAAGTATCTGACTGGAACAAGGCGACTATATGCACATCTCCTCTTAGTATCCCATAAAGTTTCATTGAATTCCAGCCAGTAGTAGCAGAGAAGTAGCCAGGAAACAAATATTTTTCTATATGGATACTGCATAACTAATCAAGGGCCATAACTCTGAGTTAAAGTGTCTGACCTCAACAAGCCAACGATATGCTCACCTCCTCTTGGTATTGAAGGTTCCCATAAAGTTTCGTTGAATTCCAGCCAGTAGTTGCAGAGAAGTAGTGCGGAAACAATTCTTACTCTATATGCATATTAAATAACTAATCAAGGGCCATAACTCTGAGTTAAAGTGTCTGACCCGAACAAGCCGATGATATGCACATCTCCTCTTAGTATTGAAGGTTCCAATAAAGTTTCGTTGAATTCCAGCCAGTAGTTGCAGAGAAGTAGCGCAAAATGATTTTTACTCCATATGCATACTGCATAACTAATCAAGGGCCATAACTCTGAGTTAAAGTGTCTGACCGGAACAAGCTGACGATATGCGCATCTCCTCTTGGTATTGATGATTCCCATAAAGTTTTGTTGAATTCCAGCCAGTAGTTGCAGAGAAGTAGTGCGGAAACGATTTTTACCCTATATGCATACTACATAACTAATCAAGGGCCATAACTCTGAGTTTAAGTGTCTGACCGGAACAAGCTGATGATATGCGCATCACCTCTTGATATTGATGATTCCCATAAAGTTTCGTTGAATTCCAGTCAGTAGTTGCAGAGAACTATTCCGGAAACGAAATTTGGATGGACAGAAGGACGGACAACGCCAAAACTATATCCTCCTCCCGATTCCATTGGCGGGGGATAATAAGTATAATTTATTAAGATGATTTTCTGAAATAATTAAGGAAATCAGGACCAAAGTAGACCATTCTAACTGACAACTACCTGCCTTCCATAAAAACTAAAGAAAAAATTAAGTATAATAAATTCAAATCTGGCATATATAATCAGAGATATTGTAAACTTGACCTTAAATAAAAGTGACAAAATTAATCAACATAACACTGCTAATTTTTAGATTTCATACTCCACTTATTTAAATACTACATACTTATTTGATTCAAATCTTGCCTACAACATTCAGTCTGTCAAATAAAGAAGCATGATTCTATAAAACTCATGAAATGTGGGGATACCTAGAGGCTATTGCTTTTTCCTTCTCAGGTATCAAAAGAAGTTACCATACAAACATGTAATGGTGTCTAACTGGAAATGTCACAGACAGCAAGAAACATCAAATACTCGGACCCTGTATTTCTGCTCTATTATTAACATATTCTGAATATTAAGTAACATGCAGTCATGTGAGTATATTAAACATATTTGACCCAGCACAACAACAAATGCAATTTTTAGTGTAAATTTGTTTGCTTCACACAAAATATAAAATTACTATTTTCACCCATGGAACTCAATACAAACATAGCGAAAACATAAAGTACATTAATAATACAGTGTTCATGGTTAAACACTTACTTGAAGATGTAGATTGGTAATTTGTAGCTTGTGATTGACTATATGCAGGGGGATTGTTTGCTCCTGGGTACCCAGATGAAGCTGGTGCTCCTGAATAGTTAGGGTAACCTTGGAAACCAGTAGTTGGTGGTTGATATCCTGAAATATTAGTGTGTATGTTTAAGTAAAAAGATGAAAAAATAGCATTTAAGCATTATATATTAAGGTTGAAACTAGAAATGTGTCAATAGGACACCAATGCCCACAATTAATTGCCTGTCACAGTGGCTTATTTACATTTCATAAAGGTCATTTTTATAGTAAACTTTGAATAACTTGTGGCTGAAGAAACTTAATTTATTATTAGACCAAGTGTATATGTGACTTTGACCTGATGACCTGAACTAATTTGGAGTCATCTACTGGCCACTTGTGCTTTTTTCTCAATGATCTTTGACCTCAAAATCATAAGAGGTCATCTTCTAGTCATGGGCAATCTCTTTAAAATTTATGTAAATATCTGCTTAAACATTTTCAAGAAATAAATCAAAGAAGGATAACAAGACAAATTAAGTTACCTACATAGGGGCATATATTTAAGCAATATATTTAACAAAAATTCTAAGTCGAAAAAGGGGCATAAATCTGTCAAAATGCTTGATACAGTTACCTCCTCCTGTCTACAGGTTGGGATCATGATGGTGAACAAGTGTGCAAAGTTTCAAAGCCATATGTCAATGGACTTTAAAAATATTTGAGGTATTACAAAAACTTTAACATAAGTGGTTACGCCAACGCTCGGGTGACTACAATAGCTCTACTTGTTCTTATCAAATAGTCAAGCTAAAAAAATAAGACTTATAAGTGCCTATAACAAATACAAGAGCTGTCGGTAGGACAGCACGCTGGACTATTCTAAGTGCTTGATAGTAAAAGATAATGTTAAATTTTTTAAGTTCACAAAAGGGCTATTTTTTTTTTATAAATTCATGTTAAAGGCCTTAGAGAGAGTCTTATTATACAAAATTGACTTGACTATTCGGAAGGTAATGTCACAAGGGTGTTTTATTGAGTATAATTATACTAATTACCTATGAATACATAAATTTGACAGAAAAGGTATAAAGGCTTCTTATTAAGATGTTTTATGGATCTTTGTCAGTGACCTACAATTATGACCTTAAATGCATATGTGAAGTTTTAAATAGATATCTTAAATAGTTATTGAGATATGTAAAACTTGCATGTAAACATTAACCAAGAGACTAAGTAGAAAAAGTGATATGAATCAGCCTTAATGCAAGATAGAGTTATGGAACTTGGTCAGTGACATACAATTATGACCCTCCAATTATGACCCTAAGTGCATGTGTAAAGTTTCAAGTAAATATCTTTGAAGACCTTTAACATTTAACCAAAATTTCAAAGTTTCAAAGGGGCAAATAATTCTGCAAATATTGCAGGCAGAGTAATGCAATTTTGCAAACTGATGTACATTGTTACTATAAAAAAGTATTTTAAATTTCAATTGAATATCTCAAGCAATAATTGAATTATCTGACTTTACAAAAAAACTTTAACCAAAATTTCTAAGTTCCAAAGGGGCATAATTTTGTCAATATTGTAGGCAGAGTTATCAAACTTGTCAATCTTATGTACCTTGTTACTATAAATAAGTATTGTAAGTTTCAATTGAATATCTCAAGCAATAATTGAGATATTTGACTTTACAAAAAACTTTAACCAAAATTTCTAAGTTGAAAAGGGGCATTATTCTGTCAATATTGTAGGCAGAGTTATCCAACTTGTCAATCTGATGAACCTTGTTACCATAAATAAGTATTGAAAGTTTCAATTGAATATCTCAAGCAATAATTGAGATATTTGACTTTACAAAAAACTTAAACCAACGCAGACGCGGATGCTGACGCCGAGCCGACGCGACTACAATAGCTATCATATTCTTCGAAAAGTCGAGCTAAAAATGTCTATAAATATCTGAATCGACCTTCAGAATTTATTTACAAAATCCATTCACTATAGTAAAGTGTATTCTCACCTGTATATTGTCCAGGGTAGCTACTAGTTTGTGGGTAGCCAACATTTGAGGATGGGTACGGGGTATTTGATGGATAGGGTGTGTTACTTGTTCCACCCATTCCAGGCATTGGCATTGGGAATGAACTGTTTCCTGAAAGGAAGATGTACATACAGTCAATCAAACTGTGCTAACTGTACACACAATTACTGAGATATTCACTCAAATAAAATGCCCTTTAATTTTCAAATATACACTTAAAAGCATTATAAAGGTAAATATCTTTTTTGTAGAGACCTCCTGCCACATAAGTCGATGTTTTCCATTTCACATGACTTATCTTGAATGAAATGTTTTCCTGTTATAAAGGTAGTATATATGAAATCAAATATTATTTAAAAAAACAAAAAAAACTGACTATGAAAATGTTAATTCAGTAATCTTAATTGATAACTGCGCTGAAAATCCATTCATAGAAATACATGTAACAATAAACCTTTACTGAATCTGTTACTTATTTCCTCACTTGAACTTAATGAAAATAAAATAGATAATTAAGAAAACACTGTGTTTCTATAAACTCCAGCACTTATGCATAAAAAACATAAATTTTCATATTTTGTAGTTATTCAACTAGGGTGCTTAAATTGGAAAAAATGCAAAAGATAATGAAGTGGCACATTCAGAATTGAATTGAAAAATCTATTGTTGTTGTTTTTTGTTTAAATGCTTTTAAGTTTTGAATCATTTTACACAATAAAAATCATAATTTTGCAAAATATTTAAGATAGCAAATGATCTGAAATTTGAAAACAAGTTTATTGTCCATACATGTACCTATATCAAATGGAAAAATTTCAAGAAAGTATGTTTTCAGTGCCTTCAAAGTAAAGAAAACCTCAATAGGTTTAGTGTATTTAAAAATACAGTGTTTTGCCTTATGGGATGTGTGTTGAGACAGATGATAATGAAAGAAGAAGTGATGATACTGACCAGCTGGTGGGTATGGTGTTTGGTTTGGGTAGCGGATAGGGGGCGCTTGTTGCTGTTGTCTTGAGTACACAGGGGGTTCCTCGCCAAACACTATTGTTAATATCTGTATCATGCCAATCAGGTCCGAATTTGGCTGCAATAAAATATCACTTTGTAACAACTTCATTGTTTACATAATACATGTAATCACTACGAGAAAAAAATCACAACAGAAAGTATGAGTCATAATTTCCAGAGAAACCAACTGGCAATCATTTTAGATAACTGTAAATTGGGAACATTTGCTGGATATTATTTAAGGATTTAACTCACTTATACGTTAAAGCAGTAACTACCTCTAGATGCATGATACAAAGTAAAAAATATCATTTTTTCTGGGATGCTTAGATATTTTTCATTCATGGTTATGATACTCGTAAAGAAATCAGTGAGAGGAGATGAATTACATTGTAGCTGTCTGAAAGTTCAATTTGACTGGTGATAATTTTACTTTTTAGCATTCAATCATTCAAGTGCCTTCTATGGTATAATCTTTATAGTGTTAAGTGTGGTGCTCCAACACTTTTTTAGTCTCACTCATTACTTAAACCTATTTTGAAGTGATGATTATAGTAATGTACATTTTAAATATGCAGTCGCACATAATTAAATTTGTATAGATACAAATATCTACTGATACATGTTGAACCAACTCTATTCTGGTTGTAAATGCAAATCCTTGTACCCTTTGGGTTTGGATCCAGACAAAATCATTTAATTACATTAGAAAGATGTCTAGCTAGCCAACAACAAGTTCTACTAGGGTGCCTGTCTGTGCTTGCAATAATGCATGAAGGTCACCTGAGGTAATCTACCACTTATAAAGGTGGAATGCTACCACATAACATTTAAACTTTTTTGCAGGACTTATTGTTGTGAAAACTTGTATTCATTAGGGGACCTCCTGAGCAGAGTGGTTCAAGTCTTAAACTTAAAATCACTACATCTGTAATCCCTTTGATTCCGAATTCAGTCAGGAAAATGATCTTGGCTATTCTTTGTAGTATTTGGTGTCACTTAAAATTCAATTTAGCAAAAAAACTTGAACTCAACACATAAATCACATATTTATCATTTAATATTGTAACTTACATATTTCCATTCTCTAAGATAGGGCAGATCAATTTTTCCATTCATATCTACGTTCCTGCCCGACTTTATCTGCATTGTGGGTGTTGGTTTAACAAACACCATAGGGGGATTGTATGGATGAGTGTCCATAATCCATATACATATTGGTATATTATACACTGCCCCTGTAATATTTAAACAACAGTTCAGTATACATTAAGGGGCGTCCGTGGCCGAATGGTTAAGGTCGTTGACTTCAAACCACTTGCCCCTCACCGCTGTGGGTTCGAATCCTGACAGGGACTTTGGATTCTTTCATGTGAGGAAGCTATCCAGCTAGCTTACGGAACGTCGGTGGTTCTACTCAGGTGCCCGTTCGTGCCTGAAATAATGCACGGAAGGGCACCTGACGTCTTCCTCCACCAGTAAAGCTGGAACGTCGCGATATGACCTATACTGTGTTGATGTGACGTAAAACCCAAACAAAAAAAAACAAAAAAGTATACATTAAAGATGCTTTTGATTAAGTTTGTACTCTATCCTATCATGATAACAGTATCAAAATTGCCCTTGACAGTTGGTCCTAAAGTTATGAATTTACAACTTATGCAAGATCTAGGTCAACTTATACTTTTAACATTCATTTGTTAATTGGTAATTTTTTATGTGTTTAAATAAATCATGTACAAAATTTCATGCAACATTATTTTGTTTATAAATATACTGTTTTATAATATATATTATCATTATTATCCTTTAATAAACTTTACAAAATTTTTGAGCATACTAAATGATCCAATTTAAATGTTCAAAATTATCAAACTATGTAACTTTATAATGAAAGAGAAAGTAAATGAAAAAATGACTTCCTTAAAAAATCCTTTTGACAACAAACAGGGTGGTACAGTACCTTTATAATTAACTGGTATAGTTCCATCTAACTGTAATAGGGATTTTCTTGTACCATCATTAAACACTGAAAGTTAAAAAAGCCCGATAACTTAAAACGAATCATAAACATGTCAGTCATCTTTGATAAAAATTTAAAGGGGCTCTTCATTTTTTGCTTGTTTTCTTTTTCTTTTTTTCAATACAAACTTAATGTGACATTATTTCTAAATTATTCTCATCCACATTATTAATTTCCCATAATTAAAGTCTAAGTTCATGTTTGTGTTACAGGTGCATTCATTATGTACATATTAAGTGTCAGGAAAAACACATCAAAAGCACCACAGATGACTGAGTATATAAATGTACATGTAATTACATGTACAAACTCCAAAGCTTACAATACAATCAGTGTTCGAAATAAGCAGTAGTCCTATATCTCCCGACTACTAAATTTCTCCTAAGACTACCAACTTTTCACAGTAACAAGCCTGTCCAGACTACTGTATTTTCAGAAGCAATATCAACAACTGTTTTGAACAAATGAATCATACTACTACTAGTGAAATGTCTTTTGGGCTAGTGAATATTCCAATCTGGTAGTCCGACAAGCCTAGTCGATTCAAATCTTAATTTCTTACACCGTTACAATAACAATGTTTCAGTAGCTTTGTGGTTAAGTTTTAAACTTAAAGCTTTAAACTGAGAAGCATTCTTCAAAAGTTTAAACGCTCTTTAACTAATGTATCACTATCAGTTTCAGTTCTATTAACCTATTAGTGACTTTTTTGTTTTAAATAAATGAGCTCCCCCGTTTCCTTTGCTTATTTTGTAATTTTTTTGAAAGCGTTTTTTCTTTTCATGATTTGGCTGTTCTTGCAACTTGTTGATTTTCAACACAGTCAAACCTGTTTCCAGGGCTGAAAAAAACAATAATGTGTTCACTTACCAAAGTCATCTAACTTTGGTCTCAAGTCACTGAATGTGGTGAAGACACTAAGAACATCACGCTTTGTAACATCTGGGGATTTGTACTGAAATTGTGAAAATCATTGTATTTGATATAACATCTATAATTACACTGTACCTTTGAAATTCTTAAGGTTTAAATCCTGAAAATTTAGTTAATTCTTCTATAGGTTGGTCATATAGTCAACATGTCACGTGGTCAACATTGGTTGTATTACCAATATCATTTTATTTATTATTTTGACCTAGTAGAACTTGCATATCATTATATGTACATGTCTTGTCTATTTGTCTGTTATTTATGCGTTAGATTTCTTTACAGACTGATATTCAGGCCACCATCCTTTATCTTTCCCATTTCATCACCTATTTATCTTAACAACATATTATTCAATTTTCATTCATAACTTGCATGTCGGTCCTCAGTTTTACAAACTTTCCAAACACACCATCTTAAGCATGAGTTTTTTTCTATGGTCTACACCAGAAATTGTTGAACTTTGGTTATATGTAATTTAAATTATTTAGGCATTTGTTTATGTCCTATAAAGGCATTAACAGACATTTCATACACTGAAGGAAAACCATACAAAATTGGTAGCCAGTGAAGGTGTCACAGGGTGCAAAATATGAGCAGCCTGACCGGGACTCGGACCAGGTGAACCTTGGAATACAGTTCCACAGATATTCTGACTGAGTTATTTGGCTTCTTACACATCACAGGGCTCACACTGGCTCAAATAGAATAATAGCCAATATTTTTTTACTTAAAAAAATAATAGCCAAAAGCTTAGCGAACTATTCACAATTTAACGATGGACCTTTCCGGTTTTTCGTAGCGGAACATTTAGCCACACCTTTTCCATTCATTGCTAGGTCAACTGCTCACAAACAGTAGCACAAAGATAAGCACGTGCTCTTTTGTGCAAACCAGGTCAACCAAAGACTACGTATTATCTCAGTGTAGCGATTGGATAACAAGTTAACCAATTTACATAAAACTGTAAACACCGGAAAGGTCCATTAACTTAACAGCATAAGCAGTTGATTAAATAAACATTACATATAAAACTTTTTCAGTTTTATAAGGATTCTCAAATAAACTGGTACATTTGTTTGTATTGATAACTACCTTTTTTACATACATGTAGATTATATTACCACAACTTTAATTGTAATTATAGAACAGAATAAAAATGTTATATAGTATAATTACTGAATAACAATAATATTAAAGATTCATTATAACTTTACATAATGCTGTTATCAGACAATTTCTTTTGACTGTTCTAATCAAATTTTGTCAGCTATAACCACTGTCAATTTCCACATTTCACACAGAACTGGAGTAGATCTAGGTCATATTTGAGCCTAATAACACTTGCAAACTCATTCACAGAATGCAGCCTTTTACTGAAAAAATGTCATCATCACCAATGTAAAACAAATTTTCTGCCATAATAGTAAAGATTTTTAAGCAGAACATAGCTTATTTTCATCTTAAATTGATAAAATAAATATCAATATCGGTGTCGCAAAAATATGTGACAGTCGGATTTTTTCTTCTGAAGAAATATTCACAATTTTGATTGTTGTGCAAATAGTTGTTTGGAATTAAATAATTTTTTAATATTTTAGCATTGTTTTCCACTGGCGATTTAGTGGAGAAGCTTAAAAGAAAGAAATCAAAATTTGCCATTAGGGCCTACTGCAATTTACGGTAAATTTTGGGTTGGTCAATTTCCAGTTTATCAATCTTAAAACGATTTTTGTAGCTTATTGACAGGTTTTTGATGGCTATTATAAAGCTGGACAATATCTTTTAAGTACTTATATAATTTTACATCTTGCATGTATTTTTATCACCTGCATGAATTTTTATCACCTCGGGCAATAGCAAGCAATGTGTGACCGATAAAAAAGTTGACACTCAATTAAATCTACCCCGCTGGTGTTAATTGGGTCCACTCAGCAGACTGTCTTTATCGATTTTACACCTTATACATGTATAAACACTGTTAGAAGTAAAAAAAATAATCGCCAGATGTTGTAGCCAAAATGCAAAAATAATCCCCAATCTTATAAAATAATCGCAAATGGCGACTGACAGCGTGAGCCCTGAATCATCTCCCCTTAATTACTAACAGTTAAGATCTGAGACATAATTGCCTGTTGTACTGATATTCTTCAGGGTTGGTTTATAAACAGAATTTTTTTTTTTTAATTTGATTGTGTAGGAAGCTATATAATAACTTAAATAAGCTTAGAGACACACTTTCGAATCCGTTCCTGTAACAACCAGTATTGGGCAATAAGTGTAAGATCTCTTGTTCAAGGAAACAACATCTTGCCCCTAACAGGTTTGAACCCTTGCAGGTAGCGATCATTAGATCATAGGCTGACGTATTAATCACTCAGCAATGCTGTGAATTACACTCAATGACCCAGTCATGGCCACAAGCTGGGTGACAAATCTCACACTGTGAGAACAATGTACAGTATGACAGGCAGAGGAACCATGGACCCTTGAAATACCATTAAGCTGCTCTACTCATTGAGCTATCCGGCTGCTTACAAATTAACAAATCATTCCCCTAAATTAAAGTGTCAGTGAGCAACTTTGAACCATGGCAAACAGTTAAAACCGTATGTGTGTCATGTACAGCTAAATTATTTGCATTCTGATGCAAGCCTGACAATTTTTTACAAAAATACCAAAACTAACATAGCTCTATTATACAACCTTTTGAAAACATGATCAAAATGATCTAGAAACTAAAAATTGATACATCCAGAAGAAAACTGTTCTTCTTTGTTGAGGTTTGTTTCTGATAATAAAAATTAATATACTGATAAAAAGGGCCGAATGAGTAAAGATTACAATTTTATATATCTAAATCGTCTTAGATTATCAGATTATTTGGAAATATGATTCATCCTCAGTTGACAAAATCATTGAAAATATGCCTTATTCTCATCGATTCGTGCCTTCTCATCGATTCGTGACCTAAATAATTGTCTGGTATAAATACTTCTGCAAGGACATACACCATCCGAAAACTACACAAGTTTTATTAGACACTTGATTTGACAATTCTATCCAATCAAAATGCGTAATTGAACAGGTGTAAATGACCTTACCGTACAATCAGCTGGTGACCTAATTACTTTAAAATATTCGATATTGATGTTTTAATTTATCAAACACGCTTACAATTCAGCCCAAAAAATATTCATTATGCTGTAAGAATTTACTTAAGACTTTGAAACATATATTGATCAGATCGGACTGAAAATAACCATGCAAATATTTAGTGGTGTGAGCACCTATATTTTGATGACGTCACAGGGTGAATCGGATTTCACGAATCGATGGGTAAGCGTCCAGCTGAGCAAGACAGTCATGGTTGACATGTTCAGATGCTCTAATCTTTGAGCGGTTGTTTTAAGAAGTAATTTAAAGTTTTTGAACTTTTAGATAATGAATTTATTTAACAAATGCACTTATTTAACTGTATGTATGTCTGATATTTTTTGTGCAAGTGCAATTTTTCCAAATAAGAGTCACGAATCGACGAGAGAAAAGCATATAACACAAATCATAACAAACCTTGTTTAGCGACGATTTTAAAAACTGCTCGTAGTTAGACATTTCAAAATAAAGCACAATTTCTAAGTTTATATTTCACAAAGTCTGAACCATGACAGAATTAACAAAATACTGGAAAACAACGAAATTAATGAAAGTTATTTTTCAGTTTTTTCTTCTTCACTTCAACGATATTATCCGAAATATCCCAAAATAAAACAATAATCAACCCAAAGAAAATATTTTACCAACACGAAAAGTAAATAGCAAAAAGAAAAGGACTAAGACATTTAATTAATTTCATCATTATATATCCGTGGTTTCATATAATGTCTATGAAAGAACAACACTTTATTTCCTTTTAAGTTTGTCATAATATTTTTTTTTGTTAAATTGTGATTGCTTCGCAGTTTCTCTTGATATTGTTTTTAAACAATACCCCAGCTCCTTCAAAAAGGTCAAAAAGAAACTTTTATTATAGATTAATATTATTAAGCTCCACAATACCAACAATAACTATAAAAAACACAAGACAAATTAAGTGGTCTTAAGATTGGATAAAATAAGGTGTTAATAGTGTCCATATTAATATTTTTATGGTCCGAAGAATCCAAAAATTTGTTCCGAAGTATTTGGTCCGAAGTGTTCAAAAATCAGGTGAACATACACACACTAAGAAATACCACACTTTACTGTACTATATACGTCTTTTCACTGAAAATTATTGAAATAAAAGTTCTAATAGTCAAAATTTGAAATTAAATTAAAAAAAAACAACTACTGGCTTGTAAAGCTCATTACTTCCTACGCAACAATGCTACATAATTATATAATAATTATACACATTACTGTATAGTTAGTTTAATAAATGATGTCTTTGTATTTTACTGAAACTTTTCCTACATGCCCACATGCTGAGCTATAGATTAATGCCGGCCCAGACAATTATAAATTCTTATTCTACTCCACGGGAATGGCCTTTTCCCCATATTTGTTTCATTGCAAACACTTAACAAATTTAATAAGGCCACATTGAGCATAATCTCACATAACAGATAGCCGGACTGCTTTAACTTTTAACAAACTATTTACATGCCCCACGTACTGTTATTCTATATGTATACTTCTTTCTTTTACTTTATAACTTTGTTTTATTTTACTTTATTTCTAGGTAGGTAGGTAGGTAGGTAGGTAGGTTCTGTATCGCCATTAACATTCGTACCTACCTAAGTTTAGTAAATTGTATTACAACTACACTTAAAATAACAAAGATACAACTAAACCATTGAATTAAAGAGAGCAGTTTTTAGCACGTCGGGGGAAATTAATTCAATTACAGTTTTAAAAGTGATGGAGGATATTTTTTCTTTCCTTTAAGTAAAAAAAAACAAAACAAAAAAAAAACAGAAACATGCAATTTCTTTTACTAGTTTTGATAAGACATTTTGTTTTGTTTTACTTTTATGTGAAATTATGATTGTTTACATTGGTGAATTAGTACACTTATTTTTTTGTCAGATATTTATTTGTGAGCGTTACTTGTCATAAGATATCGCTTCTTTTATTTTTGTTTGTATACAGTTCTTATGTTGAACTTTGAGTGTCATCGTGACGTCTTACTAAGAGGTGGCATCATTTGCTTCTTAGCTTCTTAATGAATACAATGAGGTCAACATACAAAACATTAGAAATAGAAGGAATATAAATAAAGAATATCTTCCGATATTGGTTTAATTTTGATCAAAATATTTCTTATTAGGTAGCGGATTTCTAGCAGAATAATGAGTGTTCTCATATGCTCGGAATGTTCGCTCCGACCAAATGTCCGTTTTGTGCCAATTTAGTTGAAGACGAGTTTCATACCCTTTTCAAGTGTTCATTATTTGATGATATAAGAAATTAGTTATTTATACATGCAACTAGGTTAAATAATGATTTTATAATTTGACTGAGGAACATAAATTTATTTTCCTCTTTACGAATGATGATGTGATCAGATGTTGTGCAAGAGCCTGCTTTCTGATATTACAACGTAGACAGTACGTTGTTTTTAAGTTATTGAGATGTAAAAATAGTTGTTTTTTTAAATCCTACAGTATAGATTAATTTTGGTTTTATCATGGGTTAAACTGCTTTTAATACACTTGTTAATCTAATTTCTAAATATGATTCATTAAATCAAACATATTATCATTATTTTACAACCATCTTGGAGTATATTCTCTTTTCTTGCATATCAGATAGGATTATCTACCGTTTACACCGGTGCTAGAAAACTCTTTCTTGCATCTCAGACAGGATTATCTACCGTTTACACCGGTGCTAGAAAACTCTGTCTTACACCCCCCATGTAAGACAAGACGCGTGCTTTGAATGACGTCATTGACGCGTGCCTTTTATGAATGAATCGCGTTCTTAGGATGACGTCATTTTTTCGTTATAAATGAAGTTGTATGTTCATACGCTACTATAAGAAAAAAGTGCGTAATGAGAATATGAGTTTTCATAATTTCTGTTCCGAAAATAATTGACATGTAATATGCAAGAAAAAGAATCAAACACCGGCAGTTGGTACAGACGGGAATATCTAGCTCTCGGGTAACTGTTTAGCGGAAACTCGGCAGAGCCTCGTTACCGCCGTAAACAGTTACCCTCGAGCTAGATATTCCGGTCTGTACCGGCAGCCGGTGTAAGATTCTTATAGTCTTACACCCCCATGTAAGACAAGTCGCGTGCTTTAGATGACGTCATTGACGCGCGCCTTTTATGAATGAATCGCGTTCTTAGGATGACGTCATTTTTCCGTTATGAATGAAGTTGTATGTTCATACGCTACTATTAGAAAGAAGTGCGTAATTAGAATATAAGAATCTTACACCGGCTGCCGGTACAGACCGGAATATCTAGCTCGAGGGTAACTGTTTACAGCGATAACGAGGCTCTGCCGAGTTTCCGCTAAACAGTTACCCGAGAGCTAGATATTCACGTCTGTACCAACAGCCGGTGTTTGATTCTTTTCCTTGCATATTGCATGTCAATTATTTTCGGAACAGAAATTATGAAAACTGATATTCTCATTACGCACTTTTTTCTAACAGTAGCGTATGAACATACAACTTCATTCAAAACGGAAAAATGACGTTTTTTATGTACTGTATTTGTAAATGTGAGAAAGAGACTGAAATAAACGAAATATATATGCTTTCTATTCGCGTGCCAATCATGCAGTTGTCGTGTATACTATTGTTGGCAAAAGTTTTTAAAAGTTGGAGATAAGGCTTATTATATAGTGAGATAAAAAGAATGTACACAAACTAGCCGATGACAACGTACACATAAAAATAAAATGCTGTGAAGATTCTGTTCAGGGAAAACTCCGATAAATGTGAAAAACGTGTAGCACATAAACAAACACAACATATGTTCACAATATTTTTGAAGCTACTAGCTATTGCTACTATTTTAAGCAATAAAAAGAAAATTTATTATATGAACGATTCAAATTTGGATTTTAAGTGCATCCTTTAACAGAGGCAACATTAACAAAATAAAACGATCATAAAGTAATGATTGCCTTGCAGTACGTGTCTACAATTTAAAATAAAAATCTACAAATTTCATGCTATAAGGTAAAACATTCTTATTTAGTATACATTCTCCATTTAGTTCAAAGGTTGCCCTCTGTATATCTGTGGAACAAAAGTGGACGACAGAGCTTAACGTTAATAATAGGAAATGGTACCTCCTTTGCTTTAAAAAGTGTCAATACTTTATCCTTTGCAGAAAGTTTTGAAATAATATAAGTACAATGTGTTTTAGTATTCCACTTTTGAGAATATCACATTCGCTTTTATATCACAACAGGAACGTATGTATGTAAGATTTTATACCCAATCTTTTTTTTTTCAATACTTTCTAAGTAGTAGTCATTTAAACAGCAAAGTTTTAGCAAAGTTTGTTAACACAAACAAACACCAGTTATATCACACATAATAATATACTTCCAGCGTTTGCACCACGTGAAATTCTGATAGAATTATTTTTGAATCCAATCCTATCAATTGAGCCTCGTTTTCATTTCCCGGGTAAAAAAAATGATTATCAAATTCATATTGTACCCCTATTAGTCTCATTAAAATATTCAGAGTAGAAAATAATACATATCAAATCTATATTGTACTCAATTTAACGAATTCTGTCAAAATGTTAAAATTGCTGATGTTGAATAAAGAATTCGTTTGACATTGTTGGCATTATTAGGCTGTTATCATACATGGAATATTTCATTTGCTATTTTTACTAATTTTCTGTCAATTCTGCTTAAAATCTAGACAAAGGACCGGGCGTGATCTTCACAAATGGTTCAATTGAACGAACCCCCCCCCCCCCCAAATACATATGGAATAAACTAAGTCTTCTATTGGGAAAACAACAACAATAAAGTATAATCATATCTTTATTTAACATGATTCTTCGCGTTTCTTGATGGTAATACAATCAACCAATTCAACGTTTAACGGAATAGTTCTAGTGGCTGAAAAAAATTATTTATAAAAGCATGAATTAATGAATAAAAATTCTCATATCACATTACTTTGGTTCATTGTATATACCCAAACATTAACATAAAGCAGATTGATTTTACTTATGAAGGCGCAAATTAAGAAGCGCACACATTCGCATAGCAAGCCTAAATAGCTTTTCGGCATAATATCTTTCTACTTTAATAGCTTTACATACTTGTTAATTGATCACATTAATGCCTGTATTGTTGATCAACAATACTTGACCAATACCATAGGTCATTAATGACATCGATCTTGCATACAAATTCGCCATAACTTTATTGACAAGAACTTCAGCAGCCGTAGCTTTGATTTGATTGTAATGATTTCACAATTACCCTTAAAGCTATGTTAAATGGATGTTTCTCTCCAATAATGCCTCGTCATGATGGCAAATAAATCCGAAGATTATAAATACTTCTTTTTTGTATCCTGTCTGAAAATTGTAAGTTCAATTTAAAAAAAACGTGTTCATTGGTGAAGTTGACAGCAATAGTTCAATTTTTATCATATAGAACTGTAAAAAGAAAAGAAATAATTATCTTTTGTCCAGTTAACACCTGTTTAGGAAATTATTTGTTTGAATGCTCTTAGGCAAAGCACATGATGTAACAAGATGTAAAACCTGTTATGAATA